CTGCCCAATTCTAATATTGGCAACCCTTGATTGGTCTATCAGGGTAACCCCTTTGTTATCATCTTCAATGCCGTTGGCATGATCCTCTCTTCTGGACAAAATGTCCGCTTTCCCCATAGAGCTTCCAGGCTTATGAATTAATTTATAATTAAACCTTGACAAGTATACCACGTAGCGTGCCTGTCTTCGGTTCAAGTCTCGGGCCATCATAAAATACTCCAGATTCTTATGACCGGTCCAAATTTCAAATTGGTGCCTAGCACCTTCTAAGTAGTGCCGCCAGTGCTCTAGAGCTCTAATGATGGCCAGCATCTCCTTATCATATATCTGATAGTTGCACTCTGTAGGCGACAAACTATGCAATAAATAGGCACAAGGCCTCCAAAGATCATCAGGGCATTTAATTGACAAAACAGCCCCAGTAGCAAAATCAGAAGAGTCGGTTCCTAGCTGGAACTCTTTGTCTAATTTTGGAAATGCTAATATGGGCGCTGTTGTAAACGCCTGTTTAAGCTTATCAAAAGCTTCTTGTTCTTTGGCGCCCCAGTGCCAGACAATGTCCTTTTTAGTGAGATCATTCAACGGTCTCGTGATTTTTGCGAAGTTTTCGATAAACCTTTGGTAAAAGTTGCCTAAGCCCAGGAAGGCCCTAACTCCTTTGACGCGAGTAGGTTCTGGCCATTCCAAAATAGCTTGAACTTTCTCAGGATCCATCCTGATTCCATTCTGGCCTATTATCATACTGAGGAAGTCTACTTCCTTCACTTTAAAATTACATTTTCCGGGTTTGATGAATAGGTCCCATTCCTGTAAGCGTCGAAGGACTTCTTGCACGATCCTGTCATGCTCAGCCTCATCGTCCAACTTCATAAATATTAATAAAGTGTCAATGTAAATGACGACACAGTTTTCCATATCTGCGAAGATCTTGTTCATCATGCTTTGGAAGGTCGCCGGTGAATTGGTCAACCCAAAGAACATGACAAGGGGCTCAAAGGATCCTCGGTGGCACGTGAACGCGGCCTTCCAAGCATCTGTTCCTTTGATTTGTACGTTATTGTACCCCCATCTGAGATCCATCTTTGTCAAGATCTTGGCGCCAGCCAATTTGTCTACTAGCTGACTGATCAAAGGCAGCGGATACGCATTTTTAACCGTGTGCTCATTCACATAACAATAGTCCATAATCATGCGCTTCTTACCATCCTTTTTAGGAAGGAAGAACACCGGGGACGTCATAGGGCTTTTGGAAGGTCTGATGTAACCCTTCCTAAGCTGTTCGTCTATGAAACTTGATACCTCATCTCTTTCTGGAGCAGAGAGTGGTATCATGTGTCCTTTTCTCGGTTTGAAGGTGTCCTTCAAATCTATAGCATGGTCCCAAGGCTTAGCCTCTGGGAAACGCTCTGATTTGTGTTTAGAAAAGACTTTCCAGAAGTCATGGTACTCAGGAGGTACCAGCCTCTTGATCTCTTCTTCGGGTTTTACCTCATCATCGTCATCGTCGATCTTTTCTAAAGATCTGAGCTCATAAATGTGACCAGCATTTATCTTCTCAAGACGCTCATTGTGATGGACGTGATTTGGCTTACCCAAGTTTACACACTCCTGAGGGCAACGTGACAATGTGACAACCCCTGTCTGCCAGTCGATTTCAGGATTGTGTTTAAATAGCCAGGTCCAGCCTAAGATTAAATTAATCTTCCCTAGTTGGGTAGCTTCGGTGGTGACTCGTTCTCTGTGTCCTTGGTATTTGACCACAAAAGAACATTTTTGCGTGATGCAGCCACCCGCGTTCAGCGTACCGTCAACGTTATAGACGGGAATAGATACATCTAATTTTACAAGGGGGAGTCCAATTTGCTCCGCCCAGACCTGATCTATGAAAATTCCGTTAGCGCCTGAATCAAGCAGTGCGCTGGTTGGGTGTATTATGCCCCGGGCAAGGTTTTCCACACCAACGTTTAAACAGATCTCTTTTTGGAATAAATATGTGTGCATCAACACACACTTTGGGATTCCGGGAAAGGGTGGCTCCAGAGAAGAAGAAGTATCAAAAGTTACATATTTTTCTATTTTATTTTTACCAGAATCAAGCACCCTAGTGTTTGTCTCGCTGGGGCCAAGCTCCAAGGGAGACGCTGGTGCAGCGGTAGTATCATTTATATTACAGTTGCATTGCTTTATACAAGTAGATGCTTCAGATAATAAATTTAAAAATCTATTTACAAATTGGGGAGCCATCCCTATCTTTCCGTTATTGCTCATACAACACCCTGGAGCAGGGGCCACTTTGTTATGGTTTACTTCATTGTTTTGTGGAGCGAAGGCACCCAAGTGACCTAAGCTCCGAACTCTTTTCCCTGGGTCTTCATCTCAGTGACCTGCTGGTTGTAGAAGAAGGCCCGGATTTTGTCGTATGAACGACCGGCCAGAGTCTGGAGCTGATTGTCCGGTTTCTCGGACTCTAGTTGGCGCGCCTGGTGCCCTTGATTATTATTTTTTTGTTGAGCGCCCTGCGTTCCTTTTCTACAGTCTCGGGACATGTGTCCCTCTTGGCCACAATTGTAGCAGTTCCCCTTGAATCTGCGCATCTGTCCCTCTTGGACCGCGCCGATATCCATGGGGGCTCCCTGCCCTGGTTGCAGCCCAAACGGCTTGAACCCGTGAGAATGTTTATATTGGTTTGATGACCCAGGGCGCCTCTGGGATTTGTTATTTTTGGTGGTGGACCCGCCACCTTGGTGCATTTGGTAAAGCTCCATGGCTCTACCGATTCTTCGTACTTCCTCAGCCGCCAGGGCCAAGTTTTCGTTCCTCGTATCTTGCAGGTAGATCTGCTCTGCAATGCGAGGGTTCATATTGCGTTCTAGCAGTTCCACTGCATGTTCATTTCCAAGCCCTCCTTGGATGGAAAGGGCCAGGAATCTGGTGACATAATCATCCGTCCTCATATTTCCTTGTTTGAAGGAACGGATTTGCTGACGCGCCCAGTCACGCTCAGCTTGTGGTTTGAAGTATTTTTTGATCTCCTTCTTGAAATCATCCCAGGTCGGCCACACTCCCGCGGTGTAGCATTCCTGCAATCTAACTTGGGCATATCAACCCGCCACAGGTCCTTTTAGTCGAGATAGCACTGCAGTGGATACCTCAAAATTGTCGGCAAACACATCCCAATTTGCCTTGACCCAAATCTGGAGCTTGAACCACCATTCGGCGAATCGCACTCTGTCTCCCTCAAAGGCGCCAGGGTCAGCGACGACTTCGACTTTCTTGTTGAATTTCTTCTCAACCGAGGGGGTTGCCACAGGAGGGTTGTTCTGCAGCTCGGCGAGTTGCGAGGTCAATGTTGCAATCTATGTACGCATAGCGTGCAGCAGAGCATTCATATCTGGTTGCGACGACATGTCAACTTGTTCTCTTTGTAAAGTAATAAAACGTAACTGGGGGTCCCCGCTTGCTATCTGCGGATCAACCTCTTCCCAGCTGAGTATCGGATCTCAATCTCCAACTACCCACACTATAGTATTTGAAAAGTATATAAAAGGTATTCGTAAGAAACCCTGGTCCGAACGGTTGTCAGGGGGTGGTCCGCTTGTTAAGCTGTCAACCCTTCTCCAACTGGCGGAGGCAAGTGCCCGGCCTGGTCAGAGGAAAGAGAAATTGAAGTTTTTGTATTGTAATTCTAATTAACAGCGGTTCCACACCGACTGCTGAGCTAAGTACTCCCCTTAACGCTGGGGGCCATGTATCAACAGTTTTGGTTCTTCTCCCAAAGCACTACAAGGCCGTCGCGAAGAGCACACCTATCTGCTATGTGGGATATTCCCAACCAATAACCAATCTCCTTCACCCCGGAGTCCGGGTGCCCAGTGGGACTTTTTGCACAAACGTGCAAGAGAGTATGAAGAGCGAGTCCTAATGTAACAACCAAGAGTTAGTTACTCTGGCGCACACAGAACACACTATAAGGAAGGTGATGTGGGAGTGGTTACCCCTAGAGCTGCAGAGAGTTTGTTGGTTAACAACAGGAGGACTTGCTGAGGAGTCTCCTGGATTTATTGGGGTATATATACTACTACAGGTTGTTTGTACATATGTACTATACAGTTTGATAGAGGCAGTGGCTGATGATGTCATAGGGCCTAGCCCGTATGGCCAGCTCCACTGCATGAGAGAGTAGAATCTAAAATAAGAGAAAAGGCAATGCGGCGTGAGAAAGAGGAGTTAGAACAAAAGGGGAAATGCCGCGTGGCGCCATGTGTGAAAGCTAAAGTACAAAGTTAAAGTGGAGAATGAAAAGAGAGGAAATGTCCGGAAATTGTGTTATCGTAACATCACTTAGTACTAGACTTTCTGCCTATAGTCCTAAAAGTCTCTTTGTTGAAAAATAGAAATGACTGAGGTATTCCTATACTAAACCTCCTACTACTTATAGTCGGAGATGCTGCTTGCTAAGGTATAATGACTCCTAGGAGAACAACAGCGACTCCATGGAGTGGTGGCTATGCTCCATGCAGAACAATGGCTTCTTTAGCAGAGACTGGGTTTATCCGGTTTTGTCAGTAATTACATTGAGTATTGAGGGGCTTGTCTATGTGCATTTATAGCAAATACATAGAGTGCATCGTCCTTGTTGACCTTTGCATCACTAGACTATTCACGGCTATACTATGGCCAGTTGTCATCTGACTGACCGGTTGACATCTACATACAGTACATGTGATGCTCAGAGGTAAACAGCCCCCCTCCCAACCCAACTCAAAACATGGTGATTGCAGCTGGGATCAGCCGGTCAAACATCCAGTGAAAAGCCCTTGTCACAGTCTTGATTTATTGAGGCCTTATTGGGACTTACCAGACCTCATATGCTAAGAAGGATTTTCCCCAACAAACCAAAACCTACCTGCTCCTTTAAATTTGAATGGGCTGGCTTAGAACTTGATGAGGAAGCAGTTGTTTTCATTGCACGGTAGTTATGATATTATCATCATCGAATGAAAATTACAGCTGTTGAATTTTGAACGAAATATTCAGAAGAGCGACAAAGTGCATAGTGGGACTGAGTAAAGCTCGTATCAGAACTCTAAACAAATGAAATGTAGGACAAGGCAATTTGAATAGCGACAAAAAAGGAAGAGACGGATTTCCATGTACAGTATATATATACAACTGCGGACGGGGAACGGAGACAAGGTAGCGCAAAACCCAACATGCTCACTAGCATACGGGGGCATAAAAGAAACCGGAATAAGAGGCGAGAAAAAAGCTATGGAAACAAAAATTGAAATGAAACAACACATACAACGAAAAATAACACCGAAAACCGAGGTACAATAGGGAAGGAGAAAACATTTATGCATCAACCATCCACGACACGCATAGACGGAGGTCACCAAACTAGAGCATAGCCACAGAACCTTCACTTTTGGACTTACGCATCATCCCTTTCCTCGACACCCGTAAGCTGATCATCTTCCTTATCATCGGCCGCACTCCCCGAGGACACGACATTGGCAGGGACGGGCTGGACAGCGGCTTGTGGGGGGTACCCCGCATAATGTGGCCACGCCGGCATCCCAGCATACCCTGGATAGTGCCCATGGGGCGGAGGGTAATATGGGTAATAAGCTTGAGCCTGTTGCTGTTGTTGTGCTTGCCCTAGCTGTTGCGGATCAACAGAACCCTGTGCAGGGTACGCCGCAGCGAATGGGTACTGCTGTGGGGGAGGTGGCGAACCTTGCTGGGGAGTGCCAGGCGACGCACCTGGATATGGAGAGGCTGAGTAGACGTGTGGGGGCGGGACGGCATAACCCGGCATGCCATAATAGTTCGCAACGGGGTATGGAGCATAGTGCGGCGGTGGAGGGAGTACGGGAAGTGGGGGTTGATCGTGATAGCCGCCCATGGCAGACGAGGGCACTGCAGGCGTCGAGGGCGTCGGGAGAGCAGTTTCAGATGGCGAGGGTGGCGAGGAAGGTTGTGTGCCTTTTCCCTTACGCGAGCGCTTGGTGGAGCTGGCTGCATACGGGTCGAACCGTTTTGCGCGCTTACTATCTGGAATGCGGCCGTCAGTGAGGAGAGGGAGGCCGGAGGAAAGGGGGGCGGTGAGGAGAGAGGGTGAAGTGTCGATATCGTCGGCTTCACCACGATACCGGGGAAGGCCGTCTACACCGATTTCGACCTTTGGGGGATTGCGAAAATGGGTTTTGTCAAGGTATTCCGGGGAGATGTCAAGAGAAGCGAGTTCGGGGAGCGACGAAGGAGAACGAAGGCGACCTTGTTCGACATCCTCGACTTTGTAATAGGAGATAAGGTGTTGAGAGACACCACCAATGGTGAGTGAGAATGTCTAATCAGGTGCAGGAGTAAGCGTGAGAAAAATAATGAAAGGAGGGGAAAAGCAAGAAACGGAGTACGGAGAAAAGGTGGAAGACAATAAAAAAGAAAAACATGAAAAAGAACATACCTTTTTCATGAGCCCATCCGACTTGAACTTGTAGCTATTTGTGAGGCTACCTACAAGTGTGCGCTCGCGATGTCGATCAAGGCCCATCGAGCTCGATTCACCTTTTGGCCGGCTGAGAGTCTGGCCCTCGAGCTTGACACCGTCGACATTATACTGTGAGTGGTCGATAACCTCAGGGGGAGGAAGATCCGAGCGCACGCCCCTGTGGCCTGCCCCGCGCTTATCAGTCTCGCGATAGAGGAGGAAGTTACCCAGGATGCGACTTGGGCTCCAGAAAAAGCCGTCTGTCCAGCGCTTGATGCCGCTCTCGTCCTCGTCGAAGACGAAGACAGAGCCTGAGGTGATCATTTTTCGCTCAGAGTCAACGAGGCGGCGTGTGACACGGGGGATGAGACCTCGACGTGCGGCTTCGAGGATAAGGAGGGCATCGCCTGTTGTTTCTATCCAACCTGACCAGGGGGGCTCTGTCCATGTTGTGGAGGGCTGGGTGGGACCGTTGGCGGTGGATGCGGCGGGGGTGGAGGGGGAGATCTGCTGGTTTGCAGACATTTGGGAGAGACTGGTCCGTGCATGATTGGGAGCGACGGGGCGAGTTTGTGCATTGGCGGGTTGCGGTGATTTGAGATAAGATGAAGAAAAGTCAGCCACTGAGGTGAAAGTAAAGTTTGTGGACAAAGTTGACTCACCGAGCAGGTAGATTTGCGGGAGGAGGGTGAATTAATGCGACAAAGCCTATTTAGGATTCAGAACCCGACTGCACTTCACGCCACCAGCCTGCAATACCTCCGTCGCTGCCAGCGTTGGCGTCGCTCGCTGCCGTCCTCCTTCGCCCGCGATATCGCTGCCGCGTTTGCCCCGGGGCTGTTCTCCTTTGCTTATCAGAGATATCCTGGGGCGGGGTCTGTGTGATCTCGTCGTGATTTGGCTGCTTTCCTGTATAAAGTTCGTTCAGCCACCTCGCATGACTAAGCTGATGCTTTCCTCGAGTCTCTGTAAACCTTGCTCGAGGCTTCTTTGAGCTTAACCTTGCCATTAATGCAGTGATCATCGGTTGTATTCAGTGTTCTCAGCGTTCAGTCCGCTACATTCATGATTATCGCAGGACTTCAACATACATTCATATGGGCAAATGTCGAGGAACCTGAAGTCTTTCCTTGGCGCTGTCAATAAAATGGACCTTGCACTTTCATTGGGGCCCGCCGGGCACGTACTGACATCGCTCTAGTATCCTCGCAGTGTACGCGCAAACCCCAGTGGACATCGCTCCCTGCCTCCCCCCAGTACCTTGCGGCATCTGAGCGCTCGGCCGCCCATTCAGCCGAGAGATCGCATGCCACAGTTGAAATTCCTTACCTGTCCATCACCTTACTCAGGAGCTGATTGTTCGTAGACGTATGCGCGATATCAGAAACGGTTGACTGGAAGGGAAGACTTGTGGTGTCCTTGGCGCACCATTTTGTATGCTGTCCTGGACATTTTGCGCCCCCCCCCACCTTGCCAAAGGGTTGATAGCATTCCTTTGCCCTGACTTATGTCATCTATATTTCGTACATTCCTTCTCGTCTTCCAGAGTTGCTCCCGGCACTCATTCTTAGCCTGCATTTGGAACCTCGATATCTGCTGCTTGCTTTCGCGCATTTCGAGCGCTTAATCGGCCGTAAATATCAGGCTATCATATGTGTATCGAGATTTCCTATTTGTCTGCGACTGATCCCCGACTGAAACATCTGGCCTAGAGTTGAGTCATGATCCGGATGCACCTTTCTGAATGGTATGTCTACTTCAATTGCCAAATTCACAAGACAATCCCGCTAAGGCGCTGAACTTTCCGTTGCCCTTAGCCAACTTTACCGCAGGGTGAATTGATCCGTCGAACGCTTGCCCTGGCTATGTGCTGCACTATTCGGGTTATATGTCCATCTACGTTCGCTCTCGCTTTTGGTCTCAAACTGTACAGACGTACCCCTGCTTTACCTAACACAGAATATACTTCGCTGTCACTTTGAAGTCGAATATATCCTCATTCTCTCTTCAAGTTCGACCGGATCTTGTCCTACCAATGACAGTTAGATAATCCAAAAGGAGAGCGACATGTACCATTGTTCCTGTTATTCCTTGTCCTGCGTTGTCTCCGTTCGCTTGACTGGCTGACAACACTGTCAAAATCATATCGCGTCTACCGCCACGTATTCCCTAGTTCGGTGTATATTCGTACGGTAATCTATACTAGGAAGTGAATTTGCTAACACTATTTCGACTTTAAGCGCTGGACCCAATCCTCCTGACTGCAACCTGGAGAATACGATAGCACTTCTCAATGACCTTCGAAGGTTCTCTTGCACCAAGCAGACTGAGGGTATTAAACCCCTTATGAACGGTGAGCGGTGTGTTCCTGCCGCATTTTCACGAGACGATTGTATTGTAATGACTTGATGAGTAGACAGATGATATGCTCCTCAAGCGAATAGAAGGCACCGTTGCACTTAACCCCGTGTCTAACGGATGTAAAGTTACCTGTCTACCGTGAATGTGAGGCCGGATGTCCTTGTTGTACCAATATTATTACGCCCAAGAAGCCAATCACCATCATACATCACTGTCCAAACACATTTTATCCAGACAACATACATTTCGCTACTATTAAGTAAGGTCAGATTCATCTACATTCATCTACAGCAATTGCCCCCTGAAATTGCCCAATATTACATGAGCATGTCTAGGTGTGTACATGATTGATTACTTCGTTCGCGATGTCTGCCCTCATTACTCCTGAATTCCGTGTAAGATGGTCTACCATATTGCAAAAGGAATAGCTCGGCAGGCAACGCAGGAGCAGGAACAAATAGATGTATCCCATTAGTCAAGGACGATAGGTCGGAATAAAGAACTTGCTTTGAAGCAGAAAAATCGCCGCTGAATTAATGCCTAGTGGAATCGGTATATAAGGTGGCGAATGTCATCGTTTGCCTCCAGCCAAACCAGCACCATGGCTTGGAATAGTGCACGTACGTTGATTCTGGCTGTCGCAGCCATATTGCCGGTAAGAAACATACTATACCCATTATGACTTTATGAACCGTACGTGACCATCGCCACCGTAGATCGCGCATACACTTGGCCTTTCATCTCTGCAAGATCTACAAGTCCGCCAAACCGTTGGAGCGACCAATTGGACTGCTTTTGGTTGTTATACGTGAGTTTGTCGAGCTAGGGTTGTCCAGTTTCTATGTATGTAAGTTCACCGTATTTGGTTGTACAGTGATAATGGAGGCGCCCGTACGCTTTCCGGATCTTCCTACACTAGCCCCACTGCTATGACAGTGGAATCCTGTGTCAACTTCTGTTCAACTGGCTCAAACTCGTACATATATGCTGGTATTGAATATGCACAAGAGTGTTGTATGTCATATCAGCCATTCATATTTCTTGTTCATTGGAAATCTGACTTTATTTTCTCCAAGACTGTGACAATTTCATACGAAATGGGGCTACGAGTGTCACTTCTTCCCAATGTAATATGCCATGCACAGGAAACGCGGCAGAGTTTTGTGGTGCAGGCAATCTGCTAGATATATACTATAGCGGTGGACAGCCTCCTCCTGCGCCGATCATTGTTCCTAGCGTTGGCAATTGGACGTCACTTGGGTGTTATAAGTAAGTTAACGCCGCAATTAATGTGGAGATTTTAGCTAGAAAGGAATATGCTGATGTTAAATTTACTTTGTACAGTGATTCTACGGCACGTGCTTTGGCTTATGGTGCACCTGTCACGGAAGGCATGACCGTAGAAGGTTGCACGAGCGCGTGTTACACTGCGGGCTACCCTCTTGCAGGGTTGGAATATTCGACTCAATGTTGTAAGTCAGGACTACTAGCATGTTCGCTTTATTTTAAAAAAAAATCTCACTATCATCACAGTCTGTGGTCTGGTGCTTGACAATGGTTCAGGACCTACGCCTGCTTCAGACTGCGACATGACATGCGCGGGGAATGCTACTGAGTATTGTGGAGGACCTAATCGTTTGAATATTTACAACTACACAGAGCTGGTGCCAACTACTCCTGGCGGGGGTGGCGGTGGCGGTGGCGGTGGCGGAGGAGGTACGACAACAGTATCTCCCGTCACTTCTGGTCTACCAGGAACATGGGGTTATACTGCATGTTACGTGGATAATGCCAATGGCAGAGTCATCGGTAACGAATACGATAACAGCAACATGACAGTTGAGAACTGTATCGCAAACTGCATCGGCGAGAATTTCACAGTGGCGGCTATTGAGTATAGTACACAGTGCTGTGAGTTGTGTTTTCTTTGTTTGATGGCGATTCTTGTTGGCTGATATTTCGTAATTTAGTCTGTGGTGACTATCTTATCAACGGAGCTGCCTTGGCCCCTGCGGGAGATTGCAGTATGGGCTGTGAAGGAAATTCTACGTCCGTATCTTATGATGTTCGCGACGGCGTTTGGCTCAAATGACTCATATAGGGAAGCCTGTGGTGGCCCGAACCGTCTCTCAGTATATTCCTCAACTGGCAATGTAACCATACTTCCAATACCAGCACCTCAGAACACTAGTTTACCTGGACAATGGTCATACCAGGGTTGTTATGCGTATGTATAGGCTCCTACCTTTGGATTTCCTCTGTGAAAGTATCTGAAAGTTTGTCGTTCGCGCGTACAGGGAACCTGCCACGGGTGTTCACGTACTACCCTACGAGCTCGACTGGACGACCAATAATACAATCGATGCGTGTTTGAACCAATGTGCTGCATTTGGCTATCCAGCAGCGGGTCTCGAGTATGGAGAACAGTGCTGTCAGTGTCCTCTCTTTTCACCTTGGTTCCTGAGAAGTTTCTGATTTGAAGGAGTTGTTTGTAGTCTGTGGTGACATTACGGACGTTGCTGGTAATGGTGGCTTCCTCGCACCTGAGACGGACTGCAACATGCCGTGCTCTGGTGATCCGATTCATATCTGCGGCGCTGGTGATCGTCTGTCAATGTACTACTGGAATGGTACAATGAATGTTTGGCATATGCCTGAGAATATTGGGCACTACGAGGTACGTCAGACGCTCACTGGAAAGATTCACAATAGCGCAAAAGCTGATTGCTAGTAGTTCCTTATTGGCGGTCTCATTGTACCCCTCATCGCAACAGTAGGGATCAACAACAAGGTTACCTTCCTGGAAAAATGGGGTACTTCGGAATATGACAATTCTACTGGTGCTTATGAGTTGGATTTGACGCTTGTGGATAACTATCGCCTCGCGTGGCGTGAGATGCATGTCAAGACGGACGTGTTTTGTTCGGGTAGTATCATTTTACCTGATAAGGGCGGGAGACAGATTAATGTCGGCGGCTGGTCACTGGAGTCGACTTTTGGTGTGAGGTTGTATACGCCAGATGGAAGCGCTGGGGTCAATGGCACCAACGATTGGGAGGAGAATGTCAATGAACTTACTCTTCAGGTTAGATCTTCTCCTTTATACGGAGATGTACTATAATATAATGCTTACTGTTTATTCTTAGCGTGGTCGCTGGTATCCCACTGCTATGATGATGTCTAATGGCAGTATCTTGGTTGTTGGTGGTGAAACGGGCAGTAATGCTTCGCCTCAGCCGAACCTCGAGATTCTTCCCAAACCGCCAGGTGGTGATACGGTTATTACTTTGGACTACCTTCAGCGTACGGATCCGAACAATCTCTACCCATTCCTGATGGTCCTCCCCAGCGGACGTATCTTTATAGGTTTGTTTTACGATAGCTGAAAGTATAACGTCCCTGCTAATTTGTGCCTTCTGATTTGTAGGTTATTATAATGAAGCTCGCATTCTCGATCCAATTACTTTTGATACGGTTACTGTGCTCCCGAACATACCAGGAGAAGTAAACAACTTCCTTGCAGGTCGAACTTACCCGATGGAGGGGACTGCTGTCCTGTTCCCGCAGTATGCACCATACACTGACCCTATCCAAATACTGATTTGTGGTGGATCTACCCCTGGTGCTGCAATAGCAGTGGACAACTGTGTGTCAATTGTACCTGAGGCTGAGAATGCCACGTGGACCTTGGAACGAATGGTATGTACTGGATATACAAGCGGCAGCTGAGAATGTTAGCTGACGAGTGTATGTGTAGCCATCGAAGCGGGTGATGCCTTGTATGGTTACGCTTCCAGATGGCACCTATATGATCATGAATGGTGCGCAGCAAGGTGTCGCAGGCTTTGGTCTTGCCACGGAACCGAATCTTAGCGCGCTCCTTTATGACCCATTGCAACCTGTCGGCCAGCGGGTCTCTATTCTAAATACCACTATTGTCGACCGATTGTATCACTCCGAAGCGACGCTCCTTACCGACGGACGTGTTCTAATCTCTGGCTCAGATCCGCAGACGTATTATCCAAATGGTTCGTATGTGTACCCGGAGGAAATGCGTATAGAGGTATATATTCCGCCGTATTTAAATCAAGTTCAATATCATGGAAACGGACTGGGAATATAATGGGCAATACACCATAACAGTGAACCTATTCCAAGGAACGACATCTACTATGCGTATTTCTCTCGTAGCTGGTATGTCACTGAAAGGCCATATCCAAAACATAGTTCTCATTCTTTGCCAGCTTCCTCAAGCACTCATGGAAATGTGATGAGCGGGGGTCGTATTCTATTCCCCGAGTTTGCTTGCTCCGGAAATACATGCACTATCACAGCACCTCCGAATGCGTACGTGAGCCCACCTGGATGGAGCCAACTCTTCATCCTTGATGGGCCAACGCCATCACATTCATTGTGGGTGAGGATTGGAGGAGATCCTGCGCAGCTGGGTAATTGGCCTGATTTCCCAGACTTTACTTTACCTGGAGTGTAGGGCGATAAGTTGCGGAAACCGGGTATTATTTATTGTTTTTATTGTTTTTTCTTGCACGTCCTTGTTTCATCCAGTTGATTATTGAAAAGTTAATACGTGGGGAAATACACTGCGAGGTTACATATTGTCTAAGTCCTAGTAGAGTCCAAACAATATTATATGAGGGCTAGTTTGTGAGATTCATCAGATCAATGACAGGACAGGTATGGGTACTGTACTCACAAAAGGAGTATGTATACAACTCGTCATGAAGTACATCATAGCTATTAGATGGAACATGATTTCAGGGGGAGGGAATACTCAAATGAGGATACACACCTTGATACATCTATCTTCGGCGTCCAAACGTAGCTCTAACCTGTACTGCGCATAGGTGGGTGTGGACTTGGTTGTCTTCTCTCAGGTACAAGTGGCTCTCTTTCGTCGATTTCTTCGTCGATAGGCCCTCTACATGAGCACCTGGAACAGGAACACAGTGTCTCTGTGCATTGGTGACCTGAGTTGGATATTAGATATGTATTGCAGCTTATAAGGATGGTGGGACGAACGAAGGGAGATAAAGTCGTAACATATGCCGGTGAAGACATCAACGCATAGGGTGATTGTTACAGCGCAGCATGCATCCAAAATACCATCAGACATGGTACTTCCAAAGACCACTGCAAATTAGGATTCACGGTTTCTAGCCTCTTTACATTGGGAACTAAATCTTAGACCCCCGGTTGCAAGGTACATACAGCAGAGTTTGGCCCTGTTTGCCTACACCCTTCAGAAAAAACACTTGCAAATACAAGCACGCACACGCTAAGTCCTTCAAATTGTTACCTCTACAGTCTCCAGCGCACGCTTTGTAGGGTGTTTTGTGGTGACTCGCATTTTCTTATGGAATCAAGCTTACAGTTTAGGACGCACAGAGGCCGCGCAAATGGCATACACCACGATGTCGCAGGAGGCGTAGGCAGAAAGGCGCACCACAAGAATAAACAATGGGTTGCTGAGCAGGGTGGCTCAACTAGAGAAAACAATACCGCTGGCTTGGATAGTGGAAGGTGGGAGAGAGGCGGGTATCGCGGCGGCAGAGGAAGGGGTCGTGTCTCGAGGGCCAAGTTCCCAAACGCATCCGTGACATTTCGACGCCGTGAAGCTCTTGACGTCGAAGGTACCACTGGCAGTGAAGGAGAGCAGAGTGAAGCAGGCGATGATGTAGAAGTCGATGAGGTCGAAGAGCCTGAACTGGACACGGCGGAGGAACGCGAGAAATTTTGGCAAGAGGTGAGCGTGGTTCAGAGTACGTGCTACAACCGGCATTCCATTTATGCGACGTAGCTCGTAAAAGCCCGCGAGGTCGAGCGCAAAAAAGCCATAGCAGATGGGAAAATGGACGACCCTCTTATTCCTAAGCGCCTTGAAGATGCAATCACCATGGTCGGGACATGCATGGATATGTGTGCCCGATTTGAGCGCTACCGACGCGAACGTGAAAATAACCTGTTTGAATGGGAAACTGTACGTTACATTTATTTCATCGAGCTTCAATATCACGATCAAATCCTGCGCTGATTGGTTACAAGATTCCTGGCACGAAGCGAGTAGACCACAAACGTGCTGTTAAGATGTACGAACGAGCCGCAGGTGACAAGACGCTACCGTCCGACCTACGTCCTCCTAAAGTTCTTCAGGTGCGCTATCACCATATTCGTTTTTTTATAGATATTATTGTTCCATCATAACCGGCGAATTCTATCAGAGAACTCTCGACTATCTGTTTCACGATCTTTTACCGCGCGGCGGCTTTTCTGCAACCTTCAACTTTATTCGCGATCGGTCGCGCGCTGTAAGAAACGATTTCACCATGCAACATAATACTGGGGCCCTCGCCATAGAGTGTCATGATCGTTGTGCTCGTTTCCATATTTTGGCTCTTCACATTGAGCGTGACCGCCCTGGCTTCTCAATCCAAATGGAAGAACAGCAACTTATGAATAGTATGTGCTTTAGCGTAATCCATATCGCTCATATCAATGAATACCGGTCATAAGCGTTGCAAAGCCTCAAAGAATTTTACGAAGACCAACGAGGACGCTACCAATCTTCAAGCGAACTGGAGATGCGCGTATACCATCGTCTGATTCATATTCGCGATCAGAAGGAGCGACACGAGGACATTCCTTCATCCATCTCCATGCATCCCGTTTTCGAACTGACCACCAAGTTTCGTACACACGTACAAGCGAAAAGCGCACCAATTACGAAAAATTCTCCCCTTGTCGTCGATTCTCAAGGGATGGGAATATTTGCTGAACTTGCTACCGTCCTCCGAGAAGAAGGCAGCGTGGTAATGATTTATTTGGTTGCTTGCATATTGGAAAGGTTGTTTGGGAAGGACAAGATCGAAGATATCGAGAGCATTCGTGGAGACATAGCCCTTCCTGACATCATAGATGGGTACTCAGGTATCGTCGATATACAAGACAACCATAATACCGAAGAACAAGAAAGCCCCGACAGTAATGCTGTCGTGGAGGAGCAAACCGGAGAACAAACGTATGACACGTGCTCAGTAGCGGAATCGCGGCCCTCTATATCACCTCTGAAGCCTAGTGGTACACAATGGCTCAACGAGACCTTTGGCCCAACACCCACCGCATCCACCATCTTTGGAAAGCCACCTGCGCAAGAAATGGCATCACCGTCTCAGCCTTCAACTACCCAGAGTTCACAATCGGCCTTTTCTAATCTTTCTTCCGTACCCAGTGCATTCGGTTCACCATCTATCTTTGGAAATCCTTTCCAATCGAGTGGCTCTCTTGGGGCTCAAAGTAAGGATACATCCACTCCGACCTCAGTATTTGGAAATTCCACCCAATCCATCTTCCGCCAATCACCGACGGCCAACTTGACGAATAGCTCACCCATGCCCGGTTCGTTTGATTCTACATTATATACTAATGCACAACTCATATCGAACTCAGCGGCCACGTCATCGAACTCAGCATTTAGCTCATTCGCTGCCCCATCACCAACAATGCTGTCTAAACCAGTCTTCGATCAACCGATCACTCCAATCCCAGACAACGGTTTATCAAAGCACTCTCTTTCTTCCTCAATGCCACTGGCTCAATCTCCTTCTGTCACGCCTTCCTTAAATCCTTTTGCGCCCGTTTTCACTCCCCCAAAAATGTCATCTCAGTCGAACGGTGGTGGCACATTGCCAACAAAAACGGATGTGCCTACCCCTACATCTGATATTTCTCAGTCATCGAAAAGACGCAGGCAGTCAGGCACTCTACTTGGCGGTTGTTTAACGACTGAACCACTTTCTTTGGGCGATGATGTATTTCCGTCGTCAGGAACGTTCGCTGCTCCAAGCATTAGGACAACTTCATCGCATGGTTCCCTTTTTGCATCTACAAGTACAGACGACTTGGCATACGCCACTTCGCCTTCACCACTTGCTCAACCTCCACCCCTTGGTAAACATCAGCCCATATCTCTACCACCTACGCCCACTGCAACGACATTTATACCTGCAGTCGCATCTTCTAGACCTTTGAAATCAATATTCGGCTCCCTTGGTAGCCTACAAACTTCTCTATCTGCTGCACCAACGGAGATTCTCAGCCCTCTAGTCATTCCCTCTCCTGGAACTTCCAGATCTCTTGGTTCTATCCCCAGCTTTCTGCGCAACGAGCTTTCTGAAACGCCAACGCGCTCAACTCTAAGAGAAGTTCTGACCTCATCTCGCGACACCTTGCAGAGCTCGCTCACTCGCCGACCTTCATTGCCAAGTAGTGATGTTCCAGTTAATGAAGAAGCTGACAATATAACAGCTGGTGCATTTTCTCGAAAGTGTTCGTTGGTGAGGGAAGTCTTTGAAAGGTGGAGAAAGCGTACATCTACTCGGGTCAAGTGGTCTGAGGCCTGTCAACGGAGCGATGCTTATAGTCGGAAGGTTCAAAACGAACGCCTTACTCAGAGCACTGGGTATTCGCCTGAGAACAAACGCAAGGCAAGACCTACTGAATCGCATACTCCTGTGAGGAAACGCATGCGACAAAGACTGTCGGCTGAGTACAAGCCGCCACGTACAGATGAAGATTTGGCAAAAAGATTTGAGAAGGTGTGTTTACACTGCAAAATTATTATTATTTGCTTTGTGGTGACCTCATCTTACTAGAATCACGAGGAACACGAAAGAAGGTGGGCTAGAGGCTCTTTCCTTCGTACACTACAAGGTCGTGTTGAGAGATTAGCGAGTGGTTGCGTGATGCACTCTCGGTGGAGCGCGTGGTTGTCATTGAACCCGGAGAACGATGGTACGGCAATCTGGTTGGAACAAAAGTTTAATGTGCCTGCCTCAGGACAGTGGAAGAACGAGAGCATCTTCCAGATACCGATAAAGCTACCTTCGGTCAAGAACAGCGACTCGATATTCCCAGGATTAATTGTCTTCGAATGCACACCCCTGGAAGAAGTAAAGGATGACTTGGAAAGGTTCGTGATACACCTGTCTTGAATGTATATCTTCTGATACCCCTGCAGAAAATTTCGCATTTTAGAGGACTGCACCCGTCTGCGAGATGTAATACAGGCTCTCCCACCTAAGCGCCATTACATGCCCTCTCTTTTGACAATCTCGTGGTCAGAAAGCGAACAAAGCAATTCGTTGTCTGATCTGGCAGAAATGGTCTGTTTTTTTACTCATAGCATGGCAAGTTCGTGCTCACTTACCGCCTAAAAGATTTCTACAATGCTACAAGAGGGGGTACTACATGCTCACTACAAACTGTCACTGTCGGCTGTTACCAAGGACCTGGACTCGAAGCTTGGCGAGGCAATAGGACTCCTTTCTCTAGACGTCTCCGGTAAATATGTGCTAGGGATGTCTTCTACAGGTCTGTGTGCCTCACTAGTTGGCGTATCAAGCTATTTAATGTAAACTCGAAACAGAGCTGTTCGCGTCACTGCAACTATCTCCGCAGAATTTTGCGCTCAAGTGGTTAGATCAGTGTCTCATCGATGAAGAATGTTTGTTTTGTACCTCTTTATCCTTCCTTTTCAGTCACTGATCAATAATGTATATACAGTCAACTGGAACCTTCATGGACAGATGTTGGAAATGTTTGTCGATTATCTCAACCGTACCTCTCAAGCGCGATTAGACCTATCAGCGGAGGGTCCAAAGATTGATGGTTTACCTCCATTGAATTTACGACATATCAGCGATAGCAGGTAAGGCTTCCTTTCAACCTGACAACTTTCTAGTATATTCACGATGGATTAGGCAAACGTTCGACTCTATTGAGGACTGGTTACAGCTTCCTCTGATTCGAGAGGTTGCGAATGAAATACTTGAAGACGTCAAATCGCATAGAGATATGGGTCGAGGTTAGTCACTGTTCAGGACAGCGATTGAAATACATTTTATATTATTTCCAGAATTTCCTTCGAGGAGTTTTATACCTCAACTCTGCGATCTTGCCCAGGACCATGTCGGGCGCATGCTAAAAATTAAACCCACCGAGGTCCACTGCATTCAGAAGGCTCAATATGCGGCTGTTTTGGATGCTGTCAAGGAGTGGGGCCTATCATACGAGGAAAAACTTCATGCGATGTATACGATTCGACTGCGGCGATCACCCAAGAGGCGTTCATCCTTTGGTACAAGCATAGCAAGCAGGTTTGTTCGCTTGTCAACTACAACTAAAACTATCCTCTTACACGCTGGAACATAGATCGTCTACCCCTACGAAACGGAGACGTATATCTCTTTCTGAAGTGTCTACTATTGGTGATGACGATACTTTGGGGGTCAATGTCACCCCAAGCTACGCATCTCTCCCATTAAGTGCTGCCACCTCTCCTGCTCCCTCGGAGGATCTATCTACTCCAGTCACTGTTGCCATGTTACGCACATTGACGAAAAGCGTTAAAGCGAAGTATAGTGGCAGCCCATTGGCAAAAAATTAGATCTATTTGGCAGTTTCATGTGCTCATACCGATAACGTTGATTTCGACCCTTTCATACTTACATGACATTTGTCGTCACTTATCCATTTTGGTTTATTGTATGTTGCTATCTTGTGTGTTCGGAATAATGTATCCATACCAATCACTCTCATGATATTTATCTCTGCTGGACATCATCGCAGTTATCGTACAGTGCGTATCAGAACGAAGAAACCAGGAGTCATGATCTACCATGTCGTGGGTCTATGGATATTTATGAATATCAGTGTATATCCCGATATGATACGAGCAAACCACTTCACCCAAATGTTTGTCCGGGAGGGATTGTAAGCAAAGGCTCCGCCCGTCCATCAGCAGTGTTCAGAAACACTGTGTTACCCCACCATGTTTGAATACTATTCAAACCTATGGTGCCATTGGCTGGGTATTGTAGGCAGAAGAAGATCAAGATGATGGAGACGGCTACCCCAGAATCCATGGCCGCTGAAAGGACATCTGATAGTGCAAGATAAATCTCAAACATGGCCGTAATTTGGAAAGACAATGCCATCACGCACAATTATATTTCGCCCACCATGAGAAATGTCTTCTTCTAATCACAAACTGGAAAATAAATCCCACTATTGCCCACGGGACATAGTTGAGAGCACTAGCAGGAGGGATTGCGCCGATACCGCTGAAGATAACCGGGAAGCTTATCGTAGTGATTTATCAAAAGCACAAAGGTTGGGATGGCAAACAAACGTACTTGACATAGCGGATGAAACCATTCGGCCACTTCAACGTGATTAGCCATGCTACCAAAGGGCATAAAGCTCCAATTAGGAAGAAGTAGACAAGAGCTACAGAAATTCATTCATCAAAACTACGGCAAGCGGCTGAAATGAGACGTGACAAACCATAGTAAACCTGCCCTTTGGAAAACTGCCTGGCCGGGCCGATAACACCCCAGATGATACTAGCCGTTCCGAATACCTCTGTACTTGGGCATATGAATCCATCTTTCTGAGTCGTGCTACACATATCTTCGATATTAGTGAACATCCATGCTTGGACTCCAAGCTGCACTGTCCCCGCTACCACAGAAGCAACGACTTGACTCCAGAACATGGGACGCGGTGGGATCTTCATGTAGTGTCCAAGTTTAAAATCAGAAGCAAAAGTGAGAGCTATATTGCCTGTGTCAATAAACGCAAAATTAAACGATCATGGAGTGAGGTAACCTTGGGCCATGGTAATATAACCCCATGTCTTGAACATCATCATGGCGATAGGACGGCCAGGAAGTGCATACCCAACAATGAGTTCGGTGACAACACTAGGGATAGGACAGTTTGTCAGCCAATGCCAGACTCAGACAAGGTTTAAAGTTACTTCAGTCCGACTTGCTGGTTGGTGATTGCTTGTATCATTCCAATAGGAATGACATAGAAAAATGCTAACAAACCAGTCAATTCCAGGTAAAATTATAGTAAAGATAGAAAAGAAGATGCACCGATGATTAATGACAAGACAAATGCCCACACCGGGAATTCCGTATGCCACTCCTCTATCGAAATCACTCCAATCGCGAACATTGATACTGGCGGACACATGTAGCATGAGAGTCAGAATAACGTAGTTCAAGCTATACTCACAGAAAATAATCATGTACCACCACTCGGGCACCTGCTTATATTTCGACATTAATCGAGCGTGGATATCTGGCTGTTCGTGCATTGAACGCCTGCTTTGAACCCATATTTGCTTTCGGAAGAATAAGAAAGCGTGCATGAGAGTCGCTGTGATAGACGCAAATGATAAGGCATAAGCCATTGCAAATGTTGTTCTGCGACAGGATTAATCATTCGCTTTCCAATTCAGAATAACAAGGCGGGCATACGATAAGAATAGCGGGCTGTACTCTTCGTAGGCAGTCATATTGAGCGATGCATCGGCATTGATGATTTGGGTGACGTTGTAAGCCGCACCCGTGTTGTCGTATGACCCACGGGAAGAAATTCTGAATTACCATTTCCCCCCGCATCTAGTCATGGGTATGTAGTAAAGAAAAAAAGGACGTACGGCATATACTTGCTCTCCCATGTGTTAGTATAATACAAGGCGGGGACAACGAGCCCTGTGAAACTATTCAATACGAATGGTCATATAAAGAGTGGAGGTAAACGCACAAAAGAAGAAGACAAAGCCAAATGCAACATTGGCTTCAGCCCACCATGGTGTAGCGAGGGGACTCCCGATGTACGTAATCTGTGACCAGTCGAACGTGATCAAGCTCATTCCCATTCCACTGACATAGCCAAACATCTGGTTCACGATAATATTGTCGGGAACTATCCAGCAGACCCACGAGAAGTAGGAAATAGCTTGGAAGAGGTACCCAGGCACAAAATACCATAATACACCACACCCAAAGGCGTAGAAGAAAAATCGTTCGCGAGAGATACCGCCACGGTTACCCATTCCCGCGTATGTCTGCGCGTGCAAAGTGTTGAATAATGCACATGTCACTAGGTTAGCAGGCCAAACTGTAGCACAGTCAGATGAGCTATCGAAAAAACATTATTTTCAAAAACGCACTCATAGACGGGGGCTGAACTAGGAATCGCCGAAGAACACCCCCAATGGAAAAACCGATTAGCTGAGTCGACATCACAACCATCCACTGATCTACGGACGGGCATGGTCGGGTAAGGACACAAGATGAAGTGAGAAAAAGAATTTCAATTTAAGCCGAAAGGTATAGAAGGAGAGAGATCCGAGGATAGGTCCGGGGTGCGCATGTCATGAGAAATAGATCGAAGCGTCATGACAGAGTGAGACCGTGTTACCAGCGATGATCGTGATGGAACGCATATACAATGAACGCTGTTAGGGCCAATCTCTACATCAACAATATGAGACCTACATCCAAAGTTATAGACTTGGTTGTAGTAGACGCGTTGGACAGCGACAATGTCTGTCTACATTCGGATAAAAGATTAGGACATTATAACGCCGGAAAAGTGCAAATTAAGGAAGTAAACAAATAAGAATAGTTAAGATAACAAAACCTCATGCTCCGATGGTGCGATAACTCCATGCGAGGACTAGGGAAAATCACTTACCGCGTATGCCGAACCCGAGCCCACGGTAGCCATGATTGTCACGAGCACGTGCTCTTTGATCGTAAATGGTCCCGGGTTGAGAGGTACGCCAAAAATGCGCCAATTAGGTACAACCTGCGTTTATAGCATAGCCAAATTATCATTATGGGAGCATAAGCAAGGGTGGGGAAAAGGTTACTATCAATTAGCATAGCATATTAATCAAGCCATGAAACGAACCTTTGCCCAAGCTCTTCCAACGGGAAAAGAGAGCAATTGCGCAACAATAGAGGAAATAGACACAGACGGGTACCGGAAGAAGAAGAACTGATTCAAGCCGGCTATTATGATCGCCCATGCAATACCTTGAAGGTAAATGCATATGAAAGAGTTCCAAAGCGAGCAAGCATATCCGATGACTTACCCATAACCCATGTACGGATACTCGACACGGGAATATCAGGGTCATCCGTGTTTGCAACGGCAGACCGCACCTCGGGATATGGGGAGTCGTCCTCTGGCGGATACAACATCAGGGTTTAATGATACAGGATCGACGGCGAAGGTTAGAGAGTTACCCAGAACGCCAACGAGGGCACCCTCCCTGTCAATATTGGGGTCGTCGAAGTCGGAAATGGCCTCAATTATTGCTTCTGCAAGTTTACGTGTTAGGTTTGGTGATAGCCAAATGGCAGGCCACTTACCACCATTCTTTGCGAGACCAAGCTTCTCGAGGTCTGCAGGACTATAGCGTCCCTCTTCAGAATCTTGCATGCTATTTCCTATAGGCAAAGGATAGTCAATATAGTGAGGGAACGGGTGTTCGTTCTATCACATTCTGTGCGTGACTTTTGCCCTTCTTGTACTCGAACAAGTGCGGGTTCACAGGGGCCCGCACTGATAAGAATGTACCTCACGCCAAGGGAGTATTTTTTGACCGTAAGCTTCCAGGATAAGTGTAAGTGTAAGCATGAGATAAAAAAGGCTGGGAGATGAGAATATCTCCGAGACTGCTGTTATCACCTATAAGCTGGCGTACCCGGCTCCTTTTGTTGATAAATAGATGCGTATAATCGTAGTATGTCCAGAAAAGAGGCATATATTTTTAGCAATCGAGTGGAAGGCAAGTGGGGCAGGTGGTAGCTTTGCTCTCTTTTAGACGTTGCGCGCGTACAGGAACCAGACGAATGATGAATTGGACCTATATCTTAGATATAGATACATATCTCGATTATCTAGTGTTCGCTACCGTGTGACTGGCTATCATGTCAGCGCATCTTGTCCAGGGCACACAGTGGTACTTGATGATTATGTGTTCCGATAACTGCAAGATGCCTGAGTGCTGTCATACTGGATAGGAAGAGCCCAAACGTGGAGACAAAGATATAATCAGTATAAATACTCACATATAATGTTTCCCATACCTTTTGACTAGCTTGACTAGCGGGACCAGATTCGCATACGCTGGCACTTGCAAGTAACCTGCATTCTGGTGACAGAGTTAGTAGCCGAAAGTCACGTCGTCACGTATGCTCCCACTCATACTAACTTTCGTCCCCCGCGGCAAACTAAGTTTGAAGTCGAACCCAAGAGTCCAACTTCCCATGTGCTTCGCAATTGCTCCAGCTCCAAGCCGAGTGGCCATCATTACTGTGATTTTAGCATCTACTCGTGACTTACGGTGGACTTTTTACGATGTAATTTTCCTTTATTTCATGTCTCAGGACCCTCAAAACACCCGCCCGGCCTTCAAAGTCTATTACCCGTAACTGGTTCGGCGTCGCACTGGCATGAGCCAGCAAGACCTAGTTTTATTTTTGTCCGGTCCGTAACTTAACATACACCAAGTATCAGCGAAACCTAGGACCACATACATGTGGCTATTACTAGCCAGATTTTCTGAATGTAACACTCTTATTCACATTTTTTTCTTCTTCATCAGCCTAGGATGGTGCCGCGGAAGCCAGTAATTTGCCATAAGCTATGATGTTGATCGATAACACTGTTCATTTGAGCGTGCTTACCCGTACCTGGCCTTATCTCACTTATCTTGGAAGGTTAGGTCTCCTTTTTATTGCACCTTCCGCCGTGATTAGGGTGACAAGCGTAAGAATACAATTTCAGTACCACGCCCGCCGTCTGGGGAAAATGCTACTTGATATATTCTCCGTATACTTAACTATCGCACTTTGGGCATTGAGTGTTATCAGTGCGTACAGTCCGGCCGTTATCTGTGCCCAGACCTTTGGCCGACGATTATCTGAAAAGCTCTAATAAGCTACACGCCCAGAGGTTCGATTGTCAGCCACCCATAATCGCGTTAGAGTGCGGGCATCCCCGAATCTGCACGCTGGCGGCGAATGAATCTGACGAGGAGCGACTGAGAAGCCCACGCTTGTTTCCATAGTGTTCCACGCCTCCCATCCACATACTCTCTTGTGAATACTTCAGTCTGCTGGTGTAGATTACCTCTACGCTGCCTGTAACCTAATTTATTTCCGCGCAACCTGTGGTCTTCTATTGCATCCTGCCAACCCCACCTCTTGTGTAATCTGTTATGTCTTCACGCATCAAATTGCCTGAGTGTATGTTTTTTTTCCCTCGCTGCTAAATCTATTTTTATTATTATGCATTCTTAGTTATGACTAACATGTTTCTCTTAGATTTCATCTGTGATCCTCAATCCAGACGCTGGACTTGTCTTTGATGCTCTGATGCTGTTGTGCAACAAACTGCACGAAATGCGGCTGCTCATGAATTGACGAAGAAGCATCAGCGGGCTGTTGAGCGGTATATGCATCTGTTGAGTGAGGCTGATCAAATTGGTCAGATGCTACAAGATGCTGCATCTTCTGCAATCTACGATGTGTCCGATATGTCATTGCAGGGCCATCCTGCACTTGATGATCTGTTCACGCAGATCAGCCAACCACATCGACCCTCATCTCCCAGTTCCAGCCATCGCTCCTCCTCCATGGGATTCCTTTGAACAACAGGACAACAACTACAATGTAGAATCTTGGAGTGATCGTTAGGATTGTTTCCGTCAAGAGTTTGAAAGAGCATTGACTGCCTACGTTGAGGCATCAATAGACCCCCCTGATTCGGAGAGCTCTGATGGGGGCAGCATCCTACTTGAAAATGCTCTCTCCACTGATAATCAAGAATCTTGTGAGTGCTATGAGAAAAAAAAAAAAGTTTAATCCCTTCTTTCTAGATCAAATCGGATCTAGACAATCACGTCAAAGGCCACAAGTATACAAAGGTGCATGGAGTCCATGGCAGGATCGTTTAGTTAGTGTGTCAATACGTTGTATGTTAAGATACTGATGTTTGTTGTAGTCGTGTACATTGGATATTGTTGCAAACCTACCGCGTTCTGATTTCTCTGATAAAGACATAGAAGTTCTTTTATGGTTGTTACAAATAAATGGTGTTAGCAATGTTCCTTCTGTAGGTCAAATGAAGGCTCTTTCGAGGTATCTCAACGACGTGTGCAATGTAAAAATGCAAAGATACATGGGAGCTTTTGGACATGCATACTACACCGTGAAACTACACTCTCTGGTGTCAATGGTATGTGTTTGGTGCTCATGCTAGCCATGAAACAACTCATTACTATTTCTAGGACTTGGCAAATCCACTCATACGAGAACATTTGGAGTTCTACCCAGAAGATGCAGGAACAAGACTATATGAAAGTCGACAGGCTAGCGCATGGTTGCATCACGCAAATCCTCACAGGCTCACTCCAATGCACCGCAAAGGCCTGACTGACTACTATACATTTGAACCAACACTTCTGAAAGATGGTACAGTTTGTATGCCGCACCGATGGTACAAAAAATCAAGCATAATGTGGTTTTCTGCGTGGTGTATGGTTTCTGAGGCCAGAGCCAATCAAACTGGGTGGATCAGTAATCAAGGAGATCAAATTGATCTATCCGAAGTCGAACTCTCTATCTATGGTAAGGATCTCATTAGCAGCCTATACCTTGGTTCGGCCTATCCTTCTTTCAACAACATTCATGGTAAGTCTTTATTATCATTATGAATTAATCCAGTGTTAACAATGCCAAGGCTATAGAAGATCTTGTGATGGCCCTATAGAGGAATGGCCCCTTAGCCTGCTAAACCCATGGCGTGCCAAGGCAAAAGGCTCACGAGTTGTTTCTTACCCTGTGTGGTTATACTGTGATGATACATCTGGTAACCGATCAAAGAAGTGGAACGAACATAACAGCTTTCTATTTGTTCCAGCAGGTCTTCCATGAGAGCACGCTCAACGTGAATGTAGTATTCACTCCCTTTGTACATCCAACAGTGCACCTCCGCTTGAAATGTTAGATGGGGTTATTCGGGAGTTCGAGTAAGTATGCTATCTTTGGTTTCTATAATCTAACTGTCCATACCATCAGAGAGTGTCAGGAAGCCGGCATATGGGCATATGATTGCATCCTCCACGAGGTTGTCCTTGTACTTGTTTTTATTCTCGCTTTGCTTGGGGATAATCCAATGCAGAGTGAATTTGCCTGCCATGCAGGTCTGAGATCACGCTTTTTTTGTCGATGTTGTTGGGCATCTGGCAATGCCAGCGGACATCAAGAACTAACAGGGTTTGTTAGCTGGGTAAAAAGCTTCATCATGGTTTGTTGTCCCTTACTCAGGCATTTCACGCAGACTAACAAACTGTTAGATTGGACACTCAAGAAACCCTTTAGAAACGCAAGCATCACCTTAAACTATCTTGGAAAACACTGCAAGGGGTTCCACAGGCCCGAAATCAAGGAATTCGCACATCAACAGGTGTGAAAGACACATTTCTTCACAATTTTATTGATAAATTACAACAGGCTAAGAAAAAGCTCAGAGGTTCAAACACTGACGATGCAACTCAGCAGATTTTGTCTCAAATGCCGACAAATCCATACAATCCTATCTGGCATGTTAAAGGTAAGTGGCATCACTTTCGTGTCTTTATTGTCAGTACTAAAAAAACCTTGAGTCAGACCTGAACCCACACAAAGCTACACCTGTTGAGGTTTTGCATGTTGTCTTATTAGGCTACAGCAAGTACTTCTGGCAAGATGCTATTAGCTGGCTATCAGATTCTGAAAAGGAGATACTCAAAGCTAGATTATCGAGTATTGATGTATCTGGTCTTGACCCCTCAGTGACAATGCTCCAAGGTCATACTCTGGTTCAGTACACTGGCTCCCTTGTAGGTGTGACAACACCAACAAGACACAGTCTTGGGGCACTGGAGCACAACAAAAACAACACTCAGAAGAAGAGGAAGAGGTGGGAGTGGTTACCCATTTGGTAGGACCGAGTTAGTTGTTGGTAGACAACAGGAGGACTTGCTGAGTCCTTCCCCATGTATTGCTCCTGTATATATGCTAAAATACATGAGGTACTCTACAGTTGTAAATAAAGTTTAAAGTCCAATGTTTAGCATGTGACCGGTCACATGGTGAGTCTAGACACTGGTCAGGTGTTGTGTCACATGACTGGTCATGTGACTTGGAAAAATAAAAGTAAAAGTACGAAAAAGGTGAAGTGTAAGTAGGTACTGGTACGTCAATTGTAACAGTAGGGCGTGATTTCCGACTCATCAGCCAAGTTGCTATTTTCATGCTCTATGACTTGCTCCCACAAAGCATCCTAGAGGCTTGGGCAGCATTGTGTTTCCTGGTTCCCCTTGTATATCAGCCTGAAATCGACAACCTAGAAGCCTATTTGGTGAGATTTAATTCTATTCGCACACATGCACATCTTAATGAGTTTCTAGGACCGTCTTTCAAATGCCATTCAATATTTTCTTATCTGTGTTGTAAAATGGACACCACGATGGTTCAATAAACCAAAGTTTCATATTTTACTACATATCATTCAGCACATCAGAGAGTACGGGCCTGCCATTACATTTGCCACGGAAGGATTCAAGTTGTTTAACAGTGTTATTTGGGGGTGGTGTATTAACTCAAATCATCAAGCTCTGTCTCATGACAGTGCTCAATGCGCAATATCACTTGCTCGACTGCGACACCTTGTCTGTGGTGGTTACTTTGAGGCAGAGATTGAGGCTAGCAATGGTAGGATGAGTACTAAGTGGATTAGTGCCGGGGAACTTGCAGGAAGTATATTTAAAACATCACCTGTAGTTGCACATCATCTTGGGTTGAATACAAAGCAGTCTGCACCTCAGGGTAGGTTGTTCAGTTTTGTCTCGAGAAACTCATACTGACGCTGATATCAGGTCTTTGCACCTTGTCAAAGGAGCCACCGTGCATCTGGCAGAAAATGCAGGCATTAGTGAAGTTCAGGTCCCCATTTGGCCCAATGTACTACCAAAAATGTGCAACCGTGGTTATCCAAAATGGCAATGTGATCAAAGTAGGCCACCATGCTGCGTATAAGGATGAGAACAATATACACCATGTCTGTCAAGTTATCAAAATGCTTGTCCGTCAAGACAAAATGATGGACCAGCATGCAAAGGTTGTTTTTCTGCAGAGGCTAGATGTCGGTGATGTGGTCCTACCCTATCAGATGCTAAGTGTCAAGATGTCAATAGTTTATTATCTTGCACACCCACAGGATCTATCTTGTGGGATCAACCTACAGTATAACTGTGCCTCCAATAGATGCACAGTTTCCGCTACTTGACCAAAATACCGAGAGAGAGAGAGAGGCTGCCTGAGGATTCCCCGGCTGTGCTCCATATCAATCCGGAGGATTTAATCCTCAATACTGCAAAAATGAGAGACGCAAAAATTATACAGGCCTTTGGATCTTTCATTCCCATCCTTGATGCTAACAAGATCATCACTGATGCGTGTAGATTGGAGCTGATGTCTCATTGATTAAAGGTACTATCACACTCTATAAAGCGGTGGGGGACATACCAATATTCTCGCTTTTAGTGTGACAATGTGACATTATAGTAACATGACACCATGCATCAGCAGAATGCACATCATGCGCCAGCCCAACATCCATCATATAAGACATCCACAACCCAATGACAATCCCCACCCATCCACACTCTTTTAACATTGCTATCATTTTTTAATTTAGACCCCCCCATCCTCAATGAACTTGAGCAGTGTCATGAATCCATTTGATGGTGACACTCCGCCCTCATACGAGTCACATAATCGTTTTTATGCCCCTCAAGCTTTGCAGCTGCAGCAGCCAGTTCATTCCACCGTAATTCCATCCAATCCAAATCAATCAACAAACTCCATCTCTGGTGGACATGGAAATATCTGGAACGTAAACAACTTGGTGTATTCTGTGAGGTCAAATCACTTTAAGCGGGGACCTTGTACACATATGGCCATGAATAGGTCTATCAAATGTGCTGATCTTCCTAGTGATGGTGAGGACACAGAAGAACCAGGCTGGGGCACCCACTTACCTGATGCACATGCTGGTCGCTGTCGATGATGAGAACTGTTGTTAGAAAACCACACACAAAAACAAACTAATACACAATCCTCCCAGATTCCACGGAACTTGTTTATGGGCTTTGCCTCCTAGAACAGTGGGTGCTTTGGTTGTTCGTGGGGTGGTATGTATGAGGATCCTTCAAAGTAAAACCCAGAGGTGTATGAGTGTGGGTTTTGAGGAGGAGGGATAGTTGAATTTATAGAAGATAGGGGCTTAGTGATGAGTATAGATGAGCACTACCTTGCTAATTGTAGCACAAGGTAGGTTTGAGAACGACGAGGATGAGGTTCCCAGTGATAGCAGACTCCTGATGCACAAACTGTAGTGCTCAGAAGGACTCTAATCGAAGGGGATGACAATGACTTCAAAATTGGGAAGTGACGATGACAGCAATTAACAGTGGTAGCAGTGGGAAGTGTTGTGACCACACTGGATCACAGGTAGCAGAGAGTAGTGAACTTGAGATTAGAGAAAAAGTCTGGATTGGAGTTCTTGTTTTTTTTACAAGGTAAAATACAGGGGTTTATATAGTAAAAGAAAAGTAGGCTATGCACAGTATAGCTGTGCAAAAAGAATGAGAAAGAACATGAAGGAAGGAATGTATGCTGACAAATCCTGCGTAGGTAGTACAGGATAAGATTGTCAAAAAAAGGAAAAGAAAGGGATAGAACAATGAATGCTGTGAGTAATGTCACAGGTTTATACAGCCATAAAGTAAAGTCCAATAGCAAAAAGAGAGCAGGAAAATCATGATGTCATGGGAAGATGGAGTAAAAAAATGGCAAGGCAAAACACTATCAGTATCAACACAGTTCCTTTATTGTTAGTCAGGCATTCTAAAAAATATGTGTCCATAAAAATAATTCAAAAATCAAAAATAATTGCACTGTAAATGAATGTTCTGCTGAAGAAAAAGAAACTGGAGCCACCGGTCCACCACCTAGTCCAAATCTGACAGTTCCATGGCCTTACCAATGGACTGGTTGTGTTGGACCACCTGATCAAACGAGGGAGGGAGAGGAGTAGTTCCAATTTGGAACAAGTGAGTCCCAGGCAGTGTGTGGTAGGTGTAGCTGTAGCGAAGACGATAGACAAAAGATAAGTGTACCCAAGTGAATGGGACAGCAATGAACATGGGCGACGCAAGGGGATGAACCTTCTCCAGCTCAAAAACTACCCACCCACACTCCAACCAGGCAAGACGAGCGACCAATATTTTGATAGTATATGATGGCAGATCAACGTCATGAAGATGGACCTGTTGCCCTATTTGGACCGGCCGCCGGGGCTTTGCTGATATCAGCAGTGGCACGTGGTAATCAACGGATCGGCGACAGAAGCGGATAGGAAGTGGTGACATCAGAAATGGTGGGGGTGCAAATAAGATGAGGAGGAGGAGGGTGGAGGTGACGAAAAAGTGGATTAGAATGGGGATTCAGAAATGACCGTCGGGTGAGAATAAAAAGGAGAGGAAGGGGCCCATGGTGGGGCTAGGCAAAGGAAGGGGAGTAAGGGAAACGACAAAAGCGAGGGCACAATGCAATGTGTAGCCAGTGGCAACGCGAAAATTTGCCAAAATGCCAAAACGCGGAAAGTACCAAATGGAAAAGCAAAGGTAAGCGTGACTGGATTGCCTAATAGAGGTGGTGCTGATCAGCCACAAGTTCAAAACAGGCAATATTAATTACTATTCCACGTGGCACTATGCCTGTGTGGCGCAAAGGCGAGTCTTTTTGAATATTCGCTTCGTTATTGACACCTGTCCATGCTACCAATCAACTTTGGTGCATGACATCACCCAAGTCCTTACTCTCCAGCAACGCCCTGTTGTTCTCAAGATGATAACACCCCTGTTGATCAGTCACCATCCGCTCCCCAAAACAACATTGCTAATGCACAAGTTGTTGTTTAGTTATCACAAATCTGCGAGCTTGATGACAAGTGCAGCCGCATTTTTAAGTCTTTCTACAAGACTGGTTTTTCAATTTCAATTGTTCCTGACTTGCACTTACCAGTTTATGTAGTATATTGATCCCACTCAATGTGACGTGCTTGGAAGTTTCCTTCAATTTGCCGTGATCCTACAGAATCAACAACACCTCAAAGCCATTAACACTACCATCAACACTTTCTCTGACCAACTTGGTACTTTATCTGGCCTTACAAAGAAACAATGGGCTCCTGATGAAGAACTTGTTAGAATATACTCTGACATACCAATACCCCATAGGATAATACCTCTGATTTGTAAGCCAGCCCAGTATGCAGCAGCTATTCTGTGTAAGACGTCCGTGGTTGTATGTCATGTTTAAGATCCTACATTGTATAACCTTGGCCATATAGCTCAATTGGTAGAGCAGCTGGCATGTATCCAGAAGGTTCCAGGTTCAATCCCTGGTCTGGTCATTATCCAATTTTATCAGAACTACGGGCAAGCTCTTTTTTATTGTTTCATTCATACTATGCTCATCAAATATTAGACTTCAATTCTGAACATTGCAAAGGACATTGTAGTCCAGTCTAACCACCGTCATTTTATCTCTATGTTTCATGATGTTGGAGTAAGTATGTCTAGCCTCTTTTGTTTAGTACTGACACATTCTTCAGGATATTTTCCGACAACGAGCCAGTGAACTGGGTATCAAAGATACCATCAGCTCTCACAAAGGTATAATTGACTCGCTTGTCAAGAAACAATCAAATTCTGCATAAGAGCATCTGAGGCACCAGGTGAAATTTTTACTTTTATATAGGCACCTTAAAACTAATGGTTTTCTATAGATCAATAACTCATTGCTTCCATCAGGGCCCACACATGCTTCACTTGACTCATTTTCCATGCAGATCTGCAAGAAGTTCAGAGATGGTGGCATTGTCTGCCCACTTCCAGTGGAGTTCATCATACAATGCATTTTAATGGTATGAATATCAATTTTATTCCTGTTTTATTCCTGATCATAGCATACAGAGGTCGTATGGCCTCCGTTACACAGCAAAAAAAGGGAAGAAAACTTACCACACAGAGTTGTCTGAGTTTGAACCTGAATCCGAGCCTGAACTGAACACTGTTGAGGTGCAGGAGAATGATAAACCAGGGACCGATTCCAATGAAGAGATAGAGCCCAGGGCTACCACTGCAAGAGGCAGAACTAAGGCTAAGTCCAAGAGGACACTGAAAAAAGCTCAAACCACAGAAAAGAACACCTTCTTCATTGGTTTTGAGAAATACATCCAGAGGAAGTGGAGGAAGTACATTGGTAACCCTGCTGGTTACAAAGAGTGAGTCCTGATCATTTCTATGCCTAGTCTCCTCTCTTGATATTACACTAGGTATATCCGGCTCTTGAAGGATCGTGACAATAGACTCTTCGACCCAAGCTTCAAGATCACCTCAAGGAATACTAGTCTCTCAAACAATGCTAGCACTAGTCTCACAATAAACTCGTTGGATGCATTGGCAAACTATCTTGATGGCCTCAACTGATCAGTATATAGTGCTTTCTCCATTACAGTATATATACTTTTCATAATCTGGCTTTGGTCTGTTTTGTTGATACAACCTCGCTGCTGACCCGCATTCGTTTTTACATCATGCTATGTTCCCCCTGCGTTATAGTACCAATCCCTGCAATATCAGTTAATGTTTGTTCTTGTCAGACTGCCAGCAAGAGACACAATTATATTGGAACATGATACTACAGGCTGATCACAATAATGGTTGGGAGCACCTCACGCTCAGCCCACCATTGAGCATATCATGGGCTGTGGTTTTCTATTGTCGGCTCATTGGCACCGCTATGGGCAGGGTGCGGTTCGCGCAAATGCGGCTTACAGTCTGGCCTGCAGGCACCGGGTCACCTTTCCTCTGGACGTGTACCTTCGGGCTTTGAAGGAAAAAATAGCCTCAGTTGGGTAAAAAGATAACAAAGCAAATGCATTGACCGAGAGTCGAACTCGGAGCGCGGCCACATTTACTAAAATGGGAAGACCGCATGTTACCGCTACACCATCAATGCCTCAAAATATATTTTCTGCCACAATTACTCCAATATTGCAACTTTCTCTCTTACATAAGGTTTTTTTTGCCTGTTCGACACACTTCTTCAAGTTGTATCACTTCAAACTTTACAATTAACAGTCATGAGTACAGCTCCAAGTTCAAGCTCATCTGGGATCAAGAGAAAACCGAGTGTTATTATCACCATCGGAATGGCTGGTGCAGGGAAGTCAACTTTTGTTCAGCGCATCAACTCTTATCTGCACTCTCTCGATCCACCAAGCCCTCCCTACATCCTCAATCTTGACCCTGCTGTGACTCAAGTGCCTTACGAAGCCAACATTGACATCAGAGACACTGTCAACTATCAAGAAGTTATGAAGCAGTGTGTGGCCCTTCCTGCTTACGGACTTCGTATCGAATGAGTGACGGTGTTTTGCGCACAAGGTATAATCTGGGACCCAACGGCGGAATCTTAACAGCTCTCAATCTATTCACTACGAAGTTCGATCAAGTTCTGGGGATTGTGGAGAAACGCGCGGACACAGTCGAGTAATGTTTTCGCTCAGACTCAAAAAAGCGAACTGCCCCTAACTGAATGCATACGATAGTCACATCATTCTTGATACACCTGGACAAATTGAAATCTTCACATGGTCTGCCTCTGGAGCTATTATCACGGATGCGATAGCTTCGTCCCTCCCTACAGTCGTGGCCTACATCGTCGATACCCCTCGAAGCTCCGCACCGGCGACTTTCATGTCAAACATGCTTTACGCATGCAGGTACATCCATACTCCAGTCTCTTCCTTCTATATTACTGAAGTTCACTCCTTCATCCCACGCTCTTGTAGTATAATGTACAAAACCAAACTCCCTTTCATCCTTGTATTTAACAAAACTGATGTTCAACCACACGATTTTGCGTTGGAATGGATGCAGGACTTTGAAGCGTTTCAAAGTGCCTTGGCTTCCCATAGTGGATCACACGACTCTGAAGGAGAGCCCACTTATATGAACAGCTTAATGAATAGTATGAGTTTGGTTCTAGACGAGTTCTACAAGCACCTCAAGGTAAAGTTTTTGTTCCGCTGCTCTGACGGTGTTCTAAATGTTGCCTTCACATAACTATAACACATTCATTTGTAGGCAGTGGGTGTTTCAAGTATGACTGGTGACGGTGTAAAAGAATTCTTCGATGCCGTCGAGGAATCACGAGAAGTATATGAGAAGTATGTGGTTACTTCAACCTATGACTTAAATGCTCACCCATTCGCATATATGCTTTCTCCATCAGGGAATACCTTCCGGAACTCGAGCGTTCTCGCGCTGCTCGCGAAAAAACTCTTCAGGATGTTAAAGATGACTCTATGAGCCGGCTGATGAAAGATCTTGCTGTAGATCGCGCGAAGAATCCTGATGCAGCATTACACGATCGATGGGCTTCGGATGAGGAAGACGACGACGACGACGCTGAAATCAATATAATAGACCGGAGTTAGTACACCGTTGCTTGGACCACGAATGCTTTGTTGCATCGTGCGTCTCACTATATCCGAGACGGCTGACATAGATCCTGTGTAGGCGAAGAGCCCTGGCCAGGACAGTACATCGACATGACACGAGCTCGACGACAGGACGGCGAGCAAATCAATTGGCCACGGCCAAGCTGATCAAGAAAGTGAGTAACTGGATACGTCATTGATAAGCATAGCATTTTAATCATCGCACTTAGATCGCAGGTATGGCAGCAAAGAAAGAAGGGTAAGGACAGGAGTTGCGTCGAGTAAACAAAAAGTGTACAACCCATATAGCATCTAATCGGTGAAGAACCATTTCCCGCATCCACGCTATGATGGCCTTGAGTCAGCAGTTCAGTCGCTCAACACCACCATGCATGGGAAGTTGCTCTCTCTTTTGTTCGGCCTTGACGACCGATTGACAGACAGCAGATATCAAGTATCTGATTCCTCCATATCTGCTCCAAGATTGGTGTGTCAGTAAGGGTCCAATAAATTCGGTCCGGTGTATATCCGTGTGCATGTGTAAAGTATCCAAAAGGGCGCAGCGGTGTTCCTTTGAATGTACTCTTTCTGTACTCTTTCTGTACACCGTTGGTCACGAAGAAGTTGCATTAAGTACGTAGTTTTCCAGCCGTGGTGAAGGTAAGGACTCCGCGAGGCGCCGCAGTCAAATCGTAAGGAGGTCAGCGAGTACTAATGATTGCGACTCTGTGAATCGAGGCCCACTGGTACCCACTGGCAGGGTAGGTCGGTGGCAATATATCGCATTTCGCCGAGGAGGCTCTTTAGGTCTCAAGCGCACATCGCACACTTTCTTTCTGCACTCTGAAACATCGCATCGCATTTCATTCTGTTCCTTGCTACCTTATTTCGTCGAATTTGTGAAGCTTTGTGACCGGGTCATACAGAGCACCGAAAGACATACCCGCATCACTGATCACGAGATCTGTCATATAATCATTGTCGACAGTCCAATTTATAACGGCACTAGAAGTCCTGTTTGCATTTCCTTCTCAGATTTTGACATCCTCCATTCCACCTTTCCCTTCTTCTGTTTCGTCTCGTCTCTCTCAAGATTCACTTAGACTCCTTTACCATCATCGTCATCTCGAACCTCCCTGCCACACTGACCTTTAATCTCTTTCTTCAAATAACATGGACCGGTACGAGTCCAACGTCTTACTCGAGCGCGCATAGCAGACGAGCGCTCACACCTTATTCCCAGCTACGCAAAAATCGAAAAAGTTGGTGCGTGTTAAACATCTATTCATTTATCAAACTAGCATAGACCGCCGACGCGGGAACATGTAGGGGAGGGTGAGTTGTGCATTCATTGATGCTGTGTGCTCTGTTGACGAGGCCCGCGCTCGCGTATGTCATCGTCAGGAACCTATGGAGTCGTTTACAAAGCGCGCGATGTCTCTACAAACCAGATAGTCGCACTCAAGAAAATTCGTTTGGAAGCAGAAGATGAAGGAGTGCCCAGTACAGCCATTCGTGAAATAAGCCTTTTGAAAGAATTGAAAGATGAGAACATTGTTCGGTTTGTTTTCATTTCTACGCCGTCCAACTCCTTTCTTTCGTGCTGAACGCCACGCTATCTCCCCGTACATGTCCAGGCTCCTTGACATTGTGCACGCCGACCAAAAACTTTACCTAGTTTTCGAGTTCCTCGACGTTGACTTGAAACGCTATATGGAGAACGCCAATAGCAGCGGTACGCCACTTACCACCGATATCGTTAAAGTGAGTAATTGCCCTGTACTCCTTGCTGTAATCATCATCAATCGTGCTTGGCGAATGCCGCGCGTCGCGCGTGTATGACGCGTGCTCGTTTCTTGTTCGCGTCTCCTGAGCGCCTGTGGTGCGTAGCGTCTGCCGTCGCGTGGTGCCGCCTTGCTCGTCCCACGCAAACGACGACCATCGCACCTCACATCTTGGTACGGGAATCAAGCGAATGATGTGTTTAAAGATATCTCGAATCTGATTTTATTTTTTTCTTCTCGTCACATCGATTGTGATACGGGAGAATGAATGTGAAATTGACGTCACGTGACTCGCCACAAGCGTGTCGTATTGATTCTGAGGATCGAGGGTCGTTCCTACTTCTAAATAAAACTGTTTCTACTATATATCTATCATGTCGCACTTACTGATTTGTTTTCAAAAAGAAATTTACTCATCAACTTAGCTCTGGTCTCCTGTATTGTCACTCCCATCGCATTCTTCACAGGGACCTTAAACCGCAGAATCTCCTAATCGACAAACGCAATAATCTCAAACTTGCTGATTTCGGGCTAGCACGAGCGTTCGGTATTCCTATGAGGACTTATACACACGAAGTAAGTCATCCGATATGACTTTTGATGTTTTGACTTATCGGTCATCTTTTGAACGTTCTTATGCTGGGTTGACATATCTAATTTCTTTGCTCTCCGCGTGCGTAGGTTGTTACACTATGGTATCGCGCCCCTGAAGTGCTGCTTGGCTCTCGCCATTATTCAACCGCAATTGACATGTGGTCTGTCGGATGCATATTAGCCGAGATGATTATGAAAGGCAATCCCCTCTTCCCCGGCGACTCAGAAATCGACCAGATTTTCAAGATATTTAGGTACGTTTTTCCCGATCCCATACACTTTCGTTTCACTCATTCCTTTGCTCAGAATTCTTGGAACGCCGGACGAGCAGAGCTGGCCAGGAGTCAGTCAGCTTCCCGATTATAAACCGACTTTTCCTCAGTGGTCTCGACAAGACTTGCGGAGTATAGTCCCTTTATTAGATGAAACTGGTATCGACCTCCTAAAAGTAAGTGTCTTGTGTCACTTCGTGGTGTGTGTTATAGTATTGGCATTTCAAGCCCTTGAGCCTGTTCTGGTCAAAGTTCACTTTTATCTCATTTTGTCTTGAACCTTTTTGAGCAAAACTCTAAATTATATATTACAGCGGACATTAACGTATGATACGGCAAAGAGAATTTCAGGTGAGTATCAACCTAATCATGTCGTAGTAAGCTGTTTATCCCTTCGATAGCAAAACGTGCCATCAACCACCCGTGGTTTGATCACTACAAGGCTTGATACTTCAAACCTCTGTTTGTTTCTGCTATGCCATTTCCTTAACCTCTTCATTTTCGCATTTCGCCTGTGTTCCCTTGGCTGCATATCTCTTCTTGCATGTTTTTCTGTTGAAGCGTAAAGATCGACGTACAATACAACACATAGTTTATTATGTATAAGCTGCTGCATTGTCTTCGTTGTTACATTGCACAATGTTTCCTCTCCTTGTCTCGTGAGTATCTATGGGATATCTGGGGACATGTTGGCTGCTTGCCACCTGCACTGGTTTTTATATATCTTCCATATACATTGCAGTCCTCCCAGTGCTATCACAGTATGTTGTCATCATCGTTTGTTCCGACGCTGCCCTCGAATTGTGCCAAAACTCGTGCGCATAGGTAAATTTATAAAAGTTTCTTGTTCAAATTTGCACATTTGTTTCTTACAACTCTGAGAGTGCTTACTGGCTTTGAAAGTCCGCCAAGGGCGTAATGGGCCGCGTTGCCGCGTGATAAAGACAGGCAGTGTCACGGTCGCAGTGACTCTTCTCTCTCGTCCGTAGCTTTCATCAGTATCGAAGACAAAACTATAATCTAAATCCCATTGAAGTCTCCGATGGATTCGATGGACGAAGAAATCCAATACTTGGGCACAAAGTTTGCGCCTCCCTCTGAAGTCAATATGTCTGACCCCTGTCCAGGATCACGCTTGCCAGGGGGTGCGTATCGTCACCTCTGACTTTTCTACAGCGTTTTGATGGTCTTCCAGTTACTGGAATCACTTTGCACGTCGACAAATGTAGTGAAAAGCTACCTCATGACTTGACTTTCTTGAAATCTCTAACCAGTTTCGTGAACATCGGCCGCAAGTCGAGCGCTGAAGATAAAGCTTTGAGGAAAGAGAACGATGAATACAATGCCGTTTTTCCATGCCAAGTAGTCAGTGGAAAGCATGCGAGGTTACTATTCTCAGATGGTGGACAGGTGAGTAAATCCATTCGTTGCCACTCTCGCCTCATTGTTAATTCGGTCCCCCATCATAGGTTTACATCGTGGATCTCGACTCCCGCCATGGTACACATTTGCGCAGAAGAGACGAGACTGTGTCAAAGAGCATTCAGCCTCACGTCTCCACCGTATTGGCCGATGGCGATATAGTTACCTTTGGCAAGAGCGTCGGTGCAGGATCGTATCTCGTATCGCCCGTCTCCGTCCGTGTGGAGCTTTTGCGAGGCCCACCGGCAAAGATACCTCCCATCCGATCATTATCAGAACCTGTTTCTGAGACAGATTCATCGCATGATCCTACAGAGGGCGCTATCAACCCCAGTAGGTCGAGCTCTGGACGTTATGGAGTCTTTATTCCTCCTTCGCCTGGTACTTCTTCCCATTCGGACTCGTCTTCTTCATACAGTATCTCAAGTTCCGAGAATGACTCTGATGTAGAAGAAATCTCCACAATGATGCCCGCCGATAACAATAGGAATGAGAGTGGCCACAATAACGGGTTCAATATATCCGTACCAGGAATACGTGCGGTATTTGACGATGTCTTTAGGCTTCACCCTCATGCATTCGCTCATCTTCTCTCCTCTTCACCTCACCATTCACCCCCAGTTCAAGATATCGATTCCATTCATACCCCCATCCCAGATGTGCGGGACGATGTATCCGAGTCTCATTCTGCGATGGAGCTTTCTACTCCGTCTCCAGCACCGTCTGTATACAATGTTTCTGAACCAGATGTTATCGGAGCTTGGTTTACTTCTCGGTCGCCTTCTCGAGCCAGCAGCAGACCTCCCACTCCGTGCATATCAAGACTGCCTTCACCTTCTGCGGAAGCCAGTGCATCTGATCGCGTCAGAGTGAGTCAGGAGGCCTCTGCTTATGAGCCTGAGTCGCAGAAAGGTAACATTTCGAATCTACCCCCCGTTTCGAACCCACCTCTCGATGATCGCCAAATGACGTCTCCTGTTATCAACGGTACCTCCGCTGCAGATAAGGAAGCCATAGATATACATTGGACTCGCATGTCTCTTCGAGATCTGCAGGTATGTATGAATTTTGTTTTGTTTTGCACTACTAAAATAGTATTTTATTTTATTTAGGATGATCTCTCTGACATAAGGCATACTCTTGTCGATATGGACTCGGGCTTCCAGTCAAATACAAGGAAACTCCGCGATATGGACGAGCGGATGAACGATGCAACGATGCAATCTTCAGAAGCTGTCGACAGAGTGAGCTCTCTGGACGCACAGTTCTCAGCTCTGTATGAACTACGAGACCAAGTGAATTCCTTATCAGAGAGATGTGACGCGTTGCAGAAGAATGATCAAGCGTTGGGCGAGATCAAGGATGGGGTGGATGCTCTTCATGCGCTGGTCGCTGGTATGTGGCACATACTTCATAAATCTGGATATTATTAACGCCCCACTCGTTCTGCAGAGATGAAGGCGCTTCGTAATGAAAGCGAGAAAGAAGCCTCTCTTAAATTACAGTCAATGCAAGATGCTCACGCAGACGCTTTGTCTGCTATCGCATGTGAGGTGAAGGTGAGTCCCTTTAGGTGTTTTTAGCTCTTGTCACAAGTAGTGACTAGTAACTCGGAAGACGTTTGCAAATTTGAAGCGCAAGCACTCGGAAGTTGAGCTCAAAACGGCCGATATCGAGGTGGTCAACATCGATGATGAAGACACTGTGATGGCGTTGACACCACAGGCCCTTCCGCCCGTCCAGACGGTTGTTGACGATGATGTAATGGAGCCTTCCCCTTCTAAACGTGCGAGGAAAGGAGTGTCAATGTCCGGCGTCGCACACACAGCAACAGCATTTGCTTTCGGTGCTGTGGCTACCTGGTCCGTGCTTGCCTTCTCTTAAATCAGATTCAATTGGTACACTGTTTTTTTGAAGTGTTTCGCTAGATTCATTGTACGATCGTTGTTGTATCGTGTCGTGTAAAACTGATTGTATGTAAAAAGAGCATGTTAAGTGTATCTAGCACAGTTATCCCTAACTGTTTGTATTGCTGTATGATTCCAGAGTATTTTTATTATTGAAATGCAATTGACATTGACCACGAAGGAAATATCGTCGAACCTTGTTATTGTATGTTGTCTCGGAGGTTTGGTCAACACTGTCGTTCATTTTATATGTTTGCATCTGTGGATCCATGGATAGGTACTATGTGATAGTGTGGGTCTCCTGGTTCAATGCATAATTGCGCCTGAAACATCAGCAAACCAGGCCCGTTGGTCCTTTGGGGATGCCCAATCAATACTATGACCTGTACAAGACATAAACCTTCATAAGCAATTATACAAAGATCAGGCAAATACAGACAGACCTCCAAAGAAAGTCTGAAAATGCATGCCCTTGATATGTGACGCCGCGTCTTCTCGCATGACTAGACCAACAACATGCAAAACGCAACTGCCATTCATCCACAACTGGACTTCGCCTATAACGAATTCGGCCTGAACAGAATAATGTATCGCTATGATTATATGCGCACCATCTGTCTTTCCAGGGGTATTCAACTTCACCCGTTGAGCTATCGTTATCCACAAGCCTGTCGACAATGTGTAGGGGCCTTTGCCGACTGAGATTCCGTAGTCATTGTTTAGTACAGACTTGGGCGGAACAGCGAGTAATTGCTTAGTATTGATATTGTTCAGTGGCATATATGCATATATTTCCCCTTTTCCACTGGCCCTGAGGGTGACATCAAATTTCCAGCACAGAACAGCTACCGATTTTGACATACCTCCACATGAGACGAAGGTTGAAGCACTTACAACGGTCATCCTGACGTCCACCTGAGCATTTGTACGCCAAATCGCCTACGCCACCATCTGATATAGTATTTCCATCAGCAAGATCATCATGGTAGCTAATGAAAGTGAGATAAGCTACTCACACATTCCAGGTAACTTTCCACCTTTGACCCATTCCCAGTCGGGTTGGAACATGACTTTGTAGCTGAACAAAGCCTCGGATGCGCCATTTTCTAATGCCCTAGCAAAGTCGGAGGGTCCGCTGAGGTAGAATCCTAAGCCACCAGGCTTCTCGGTTTGAGGGCTTATGCTGCCTTTGGGATAGAAAGCCTCCCAAGCAACCTGCGGAGGCGGTTCATTTCCACAAAGGGCGATTGGCATCGGGGGATTTACGACATTGTGAGTAAGATGTCCTGTGTTTTTGTGGATACCGAGGGCGTTGTCAGATAACGAGACGTTGGCAACGTTTGTGAGTGCTAAAGTGGGACAAGTGGTGAATCCATGCAGGACATTAAGGATCGGGAAAAGATGCGTGAGACTTGAATTGCTGGTGAACGATGATGGAGACATTTTTGGCTAGTAAATCGCAAATGTCAGTAGATGATGTTTGAGACATGGTTAATTGACGAAAAAGGTGCGTAGAAAGGATAGGGGATGGTTTTTGATTCCGCGGCCAAACTCAGTTCCTGTCCAGGACAGTGTGCTTCCGAGTCGGCTGCGGGTCTTCCAAGTTGTCGGTGCGTTCTCCTTGCCACGTACTTACGCTCACGTTTGATAGCACTATCTACTTGGTTGCAACTTGAAAAGCAAATACGAAGACACACGTGTAATTCAGCAGCCAACACATTCCTTAACATGGATGGTCTCTGTATTGCGACATCCACCAGGTTACATGGGCTTTTTTATATTCCGACAGGGACATAAACGGGCATTGCTTTGTTCCAAATTCAATTCGCTGTCCTAAAGGAATCTCCGTGCCTTGAATAAGTAGCTTTACTATTCAAAATCCACACTTGGCTTGTCTCCCATACCATGTCGACCACCCGCGTTGCAATCGTAACTGGTGCTGCTCAGGGAATTGGTCGCGCCATAGCTCTGCGACTTGCTGATGATGGATTTGACGTCGTCCTTGCAGATATCGAGTCCCAAACTGCTCTAGTGGACGACACTGTATCCGAGATAGCAAGGAAGGGCCGACAGGCCCTATCTGTTCCTACAGACGTTTCGAAGGAAGAACAAGTCAAAGATCTTGTCGCAAAGACCGTCGAAACTTTTGGGGGACTTGACGTGGTTCGTGGCAATGATACTATCTAAGAAACTGATGTCAATTAATGTTCAGATGGTTGCAAATGCTGGTATTGCCTCAGCCAAATCGTTGTTAGATGGTAAGCGCACAGTTGTGTTGTTCAGCCCCAATTTGCTGATCAGACAGTTTCGGAGGAGGAATTTGATAAAGTGATGTCTATCAACATAAAGGGTGTACTCTTTTGCTACAGACATGCAGCCCAAGCCATGATAAATCAAGGCAAGGGAGGTAGAATCATAGGTACATCTTGGCAATTTTGCCTCTAAGAGACTTGTCGCTTTGTTACTCAGTCCATGTCATGAACAGGGGCATCGTCTGCTGCCGGAAAAAGGGGTAAAAGCATTATCTTCTGATGTTGAAAAAAGTCAGGTCCTGATTTCTAGAATAGCCATTAAAGGTTGCGGTGCATACAACGCCAGTAAGTCTGCGGTCCGGGCTTTGACTCAAACTGCTGGTAAGTCTCAGGTTGACCCTTCGTGTGTTCACGTCACTGTAGTCACTCCTTGATAATCCAAATTTCTTCTTTAGCCTCAGAATTCGCAAAATACAATATTACGGTTAATGCTTACGCTCCCGGCATTATTGATACCGCTATGAGTATGTCCACCTTGATGTGGCAACATATCAGGTGCTTGGACTGGCTTTGCTTACTTATCTTCACTAGTTGAAGGCGCGTCAATCATGCTAGGATTGGACGAGGTACGAGTAATAGATTTAGCAGATACTATGGTGCGTAATTCGAGGGTGTGAAACAAAGTTGCCGTACTGACTTATAATTTGACCCCGTAGTCGATTGGCCGCCCTGTCATAGAGCGTATCGGTATGCCAGAGGAGGTTGCAGGCGTAGTTTCGTTTATCGCATCCAAGGATTCTTCCTATGTCACAGGTAAGTCTCATGCTGGCCATATCATAATACGGTGGATCACATTGCTGTTTTGGTGCAGGACAGGCAATATCAGTGGATGGAGGCATATACTACGGTTAAATGACACATATTTACTTGAATCTGTCAATGGGGTGCTCTGTGTAGATGACGTGTTGATAGGCGATTACCTATATATGGTCACACAGGAGACAGTCCTCGCACAGTGTGGTGGGGAAATGGTTGAAAGCCTTTGTTGTATTTCCTTCCAAATTGACCTTTGCCTTGTTGTACTTGTTGTAACAGCTGTAACCCTCTTATCCTGTATGAGTAAGGTGATAATGTCACAGTAAATGTATGATATTGTCATATTTGTGCTGGAAGGCAGAACTCCGGAATTTCCGAAGAGGACATTCCTCAAGTCCGAACCCCCAAACCTTCGGTATTCTCAGGATTACATTCCTCGTGTCCTGCCGGTTGGCATAACCCTTTGCCCCATCTCCACACAGTACCCCAGACATCTGCCCCGATTCTCCTACACTGGACTTCTAGTCCACCATACATTTTCCTATGCACATTTTTGTACTCCTCATGGACTCTATAGTTTAGACCTTATGGTACACTCCTTGCACATACATTTTCCCTTCACTAGATAATTGCCTGCATGGAACTCCATACCTACATTATGAGTTACTCCTTATGGACTCCCATTTCTCTGACAGTATATGCTGTATTATTGATGCTCTATTATTTGAGAAGAAATAAGCTATCTACAGGGCTATTAAGGCTATGAAAAGGTTAGTTTGTAGTATTGTGCCTTAAGGCTTATTTGTTCTGGCTAGCTGACCCTGGCGCCTTTGAGGGAGACAGAGCACAATTTGCCATGTGGTGGATCAAGCTCCAAATTTGGGTCAAAGCAAACTGGGATGCGACTTTGAGGTAGCAACTGCGGTACTATCTCGACTAAAAGGACCTGTGGCGGGTCAATACGCCCAAGTTAGAATGCAGGAGTGCTACACCGCGGGAGTGTGGCCTGTTTGGGATGATCTCAAAGTTGAGATCGAAAAATATTTCAAACTGCAAGCTGAGTGTGACTGGGCGCGTCAGCAGATCCGTACCTTCAAGCAAGGAAATATGAGGATGGAAAATTTCGTAACCCAGTTCCTGGCCCTCTCTATCCAAGGGGGCTTAGGTAATGAACATGCAGTAGAGCTGCTGGAACGCAATGTGAACCCCCACATTGCAGAACAGCTCTATCTGCAGGATATGAGGAGTGAAAATGTCACGATCTCAAACTCAAACCCTAGTTCAACCCAAAACCTCAGACGAAGACGTTATCACTATAGTTTCCCCTTATCTAGAATAGTCACATCATTATCTTATCTAAGCTGATCTTATCTTATCTAGTCACCTGACCTATGATGTAGATACTTACCAAGCACCTCATGCCCTACGCATGTTGCTCAGTCAGCGCCTCATGTTAGTTAGTATATATACAGCCCTCTTCATGTACATATTCCCCAGTTGTTGATTTAATCTTTATACTGTTGTTCTTGACTCTGTTGGCGATTCAATAGTTGCACTTCCGTTAACTCGGCATAGGGTGTAGCTTTCACAGAAAACCTCTCTTAAGCAGCGGAGGAGGTTCAAAAAATAGGTAGGGCCATAGAGCTCTACAAAATGCATCAAGGTGGTGGGACCACTACCAAAAACAACTATTCCCAGAGGAGCCCTGGGTCATCAAACCAAAAACACAATCACTCTCACGGGTTCCAACCATTTGGGTTGCAACCAGGGCGGGGAGCCCCAATGGATATTAGCGCAGTCCAGGGTGGTGTCATGCACCAAAGTTGATTGGTAGCATGGACAGGTGTCAATAACGAAGCAAATATTCAAAAAGACTCGCCTTTGCGCCACACAGGCACAGTGCCACATGGAATAGTAATTAATATTGCCTTTTTTGAACTTGTGGCTGATCAGCATCACCTCTATTAGGCAATCCAGTCACGCTCACCTTTGCTTTTCCATCCGGTACTTTCTGCATTTCGGCATTTCGGCAAATTTTTGCGTTGCCACTGGCTACACATTGCATTGCGCCCTCGCTTTTGTCGTTTCCCTTACTCCCCTTCCTTTGCCTAGCCCCACCATGGGCCCCTTCCTCTCCTTTTTATTCTCACCTGACGGTCGTTTCTGGATCCCCATTCTAATCCACTTTTTCGTCACCTCCACCCTCCTCCTCCTCATCTTCTTTGCACCCCCACCATTTCTGATGTCACCACTTCCTATCCGCTTCCGTCGCCGATCCGTTGACTACCACGTGCCACTGCTGATATCAGCAAAGCCCCGGCGGCCGGTCCAAATTGGGCAACAGGTCCATCTTCATGACGTCGATCTGCCATCATATACTATCAAAACATTGGTCGCTCGTCTTGCCTGGTTGGAGCGTGGGTGGGTAATTTTTGAGCTGGAGAAGGTTCATCCCCTTGCGTCGCCCATGTTCATCGCTGTCCCATTCACTTGGGTACACTTATCATTTGTCCATCGTCTTCGCTACAGCTACACCTACCACACGCTGCCTGGGACTCACTTGTTCCAAATTGGAACTACTCCTCTCCCTCCCTTGTTTGATCAGGTGGTCCAACACAACCAATCCATTGGTAAGGCCATGGAACTGTCGGATTTGGACTAGGTGGTGGACCGGTGGCTCCAGTTTCTTTTTTTTCAGCAGAACATTCATTTACAGTGCGATTATTTTTGATTTTTGAATCATTTTTATGGACACATATTTTTTTAGAATGCCTGACTGACAATAAAGGAACTGTGTTGATACTGATAGTGTTTTGCCTTGCTCTTTTTTTTACTGCATCTTCCCATGACATCATGATTTTCCTGCTCTCTTTTTGCTATTGGACTTTACTTTATGGCTGTACAAACCTGTGACATTACTCACAGCATTCATTGTTCTATCCCTTTCTTTTCCTTTTTTTGACAATCTTATCCTGTACTACCTATGCAGGATTCGTCAGTGTACATTCCTTCCTTCATGTTCTTTCTCATTCTTTTTGCACAGCTATACTGTGCATAGCCTACTTTTCTTTCACTATATAAACCCCTGTATTTTACCTTGTAAAAAAATAACCAAGAACTCAAATCCAGACTTCTTCTCTAATCTCAAGTTCACTACTCACTACTACTTGTGATCCAGTGTGGTCACAACACTTCCCACTGCTACCACTGTCAACTGCTGTCATCGTCACTTGTCACTTTTGAAAGTGATTGTCATCCCTTTCGATTAGAGTCCTTCTGAGCACTACAGTCTGTGCGTCAGGAGCCTGCTATCACTGGGAACTTCGTCACCTCATCATATTGTCATTCTCAAACCTACCTTGTGCTACTATTAGCAAGGTAGTGCTCGTCTATACTCGCCACAAAGCCTCTATCTTTCTGCATTCCAACTATCCCTCCTCCTCAAAACCCACACCCATACATCTTTGGGTTTTACTTTGAAGGATTGTTATACGTACCACCCCACAAACAACCAGACCACTCCACTGTTCTAGGAGGCAAAGCCCATAAACAAGTTCCGTGGAATCTGGGAGGATTGTGTGTTAGTTTGTTTTTGTGTGTGTTTTTTTCTAACAACAGTTCTCATCATCGACAGTGGACAGATGCGCAGATTCACCTGCTACAACTCTGGCGAGGAGGGGCACATAGCCCAAAAGTGTACAAATGGAGCGTGGGCCTCTCAACAAAAAAATAACCAAGGGTGCCAGGCATGTTAATTAGAAACTGAAAAACTGGACGATTGGCTCAATACTCTGGCTGGTCGTTCGTACGGCGAAATCCGGGCTTCCTTCTATGACCAACAGGTCAATGAAATGAAAGCTCAGGGAAAAGAGTTCGGAGCTTAGGTTACTTGGGTGCCTTCGCTCCTACAAACAATGAAGTAAACCACAACAAGGTGGCCCCTGCTCCAGGGTGTTGCACGAGCAATAAAGGAAAGATGTGGGTGGCTCCCCAATTTGTAAATAGATTTTTGAATTTGTTATCCGAAGTATGTACTTGTATGCAACACTGTGACTGTGGATTGGTCTTGGACCCTCCTGACGATATAGCTGCTTTGAGCGCTGATTCAGTGGGTCAAGACGATGAAGGAATTAATGCTAAAAATACTTATAAAACCACCGCTGTACCAGTGTCTCCTTTGGAGCGTGGCCCCGGCGGGACAACCACTAGGGTGCTTAATTCTGGTAAAAATAAAAATAAAAATATAGAAAATCCTAAAATAGAAAAACATCTTTCTTTTGATAATTCTTCTTCTTCTTCAGAGCCACTTTCCAACGAAATCCCAAGGCGTGTGTTGATGCGCACATATTTATTCCAAAAGGAGATCTGTTTAAATGTTGGTGTGGAACACTTTGCCCAGGGCATAGTACACCCAACTAGCACACTGCTTGATTCAGGCGCTAACAACATCTTCATAGATCAGGTCTGGGTGGAGCAAATTGGACTCCCCCTTGTGAGATTAGATATAGCTATTCCCGTCTATAAAATTGATGGTACACTTAATGCAGGTGGCTGTATCATGCACAAATGTTCTTTTGTTGTCGAGTACCAAGGACACAGGGAACGAGTCACCGCCGAAGCTACCCAACTAGGGAAGATCAATTTAATCTTAGGCTGGACCTGGCTATTTAAACACAATCCCGAGATTGACTGGCAGACAGGGGTTGTCACATTGTCACGTTGTCCTCAGGAGTGTAAGAACTTGGGTAAGCCGAGTCACGTCCATCGAACTGAGCCTCTTGAGAAGATAAACGCTGGTCACATTTATGAGCTCAGATCTTTAGAAAAGATTGACAATGACGATGACAAGGTAAAACCCGAGGAGGAAGAGATTAAGAGGCTGGTACCTCCCGAGTACCATGACTTCTGGAAAGTCTTTTCAAAACATGAGTTAGAGCGCTTCCCAGAGGCTAAGCCTTGGGACCATGCTATAGATTTGAAGGACACCTTCAAACCTAGAAAGGGACACATGATTCCCCTCTCTGCTCCAGAAAAAGATGAGGTTTATAGTTTCATAGATGAACAGCTTAGGAAGGGTTACATCAGACTTTCTAAGA